CTGCCGCCGCCAGCGGCGGTGGCGGCGGCGTCGACACCGATGGCTCCAAGGCAGCTGCCGCCGCCGCGTCGGCGGCGCTGGCGGCGGCGCTGCTGACGCCGGAAAGCGCGTTGCAGCTAGGGCCGCTGGCCGCGGAGTCCTGGTACATGTTGTGTGCTTTTGGGTCGCCACGCGACGCGCTGCGATTCGCCGCCGCAGCGCAACTGGGGCTTATGCAATTAGATTGGCCGCCGGGGCTGCTGCGCCATCGAAAGTGCGAGCCGCTGTACGCACTTCCAGTAAGCCTACCAGGTTATTACGTAGTGTGTCTGGAACCCCCCGTGTATTATAGCAGTGCTTGGCCTTACAGTAGCTATTTTGAAAGTAAACCAGTTATCGGATAGTTTTCTTGTTGTTGTATTATTTGAAGGTTAGGTGGGAGGCGGTATGTAATGTCTCATGTCCTGCTGATGTTATTGCTACTACTGCTACTACTGCTACTACTGCTACTACTGCTACTACTGCTACTACTGCTACTGCATCTGTTATTGCTACTGCCTCGGCTGCATTTATGCGGGGTATGCAGATCCAGCAGGCCGCTGCACTGGCGGACCTCAGAGCGCAAATGATGCAGCCGCCGGGCGGCCTAGCCAGTGGTGGGGATGGAGGTGGAGGTGACACCGCCACCACGGGAGCGACCCATGGGTTTATCCAGTCCCACCACCACCGCTATGAACAACATCGACCGCCACCACCTCAACAGCAGCAACAGCAACAGCAACGACATACCGACGAACAGCACTTGGAACGCGATGGCAACCGAACCACAACCGCTGGTTTCGGAAGCCCATCAGTGCCCTACAGCATTGACGACGCCTGCGGCGACGGCGGCCTCAGCGGAACAGGGTCGTCAGGACGGGCGTTGGGGCAGTTGGCGAAGCACATGGGAGGTACGTCACCTTGCAGTGGGGGTGTCGCGCCATTTTTATGGTCAACGTGTGCCTACCCCGGACACTGTGTGTATGTATGTGTGTATGTTTACAAGTTTTTTCCGCACGAGTGTGGGGGGTCCGTCAAAGCCGGGAGGCCATGGACTATATATTTGGAAGTTGATTCCACCGTTCAACCGACGATGGTGTTTTGGTCCTACTAGACCCCACCTCATCCAGTCACCCGACATCCGTAGAGACCATCCGTCGCAACCAAATCAGAGTGTGAAACTAGTCCATCAACTAGACCTCATCTCGACACCTCAGCGGCAAGTGGTAAACCTAATACTCCCAATCAATGTGTATGTATGTATGTATGTATGTATGTATGTATGTATGTATGTATGTATGTATGTATGTATGTATGTATGTATGTATGTATGTATGTATGTATGTATGTATGTATGTATGTATGTATGTATGTATGTATGTATGTATGTATGTATGTATGTATGTATGTATGTATGTATGTATGTATGTATGTATGTATGTATGTATGTATGTATGTATGACTTAGATTACCTGTGGGCTGCGAGAGCCGGAGGCCGAAGCCGAAACACAGCGCAAGGGTCGGGAGCACACATCACAAGTCGGTTAGTCTTGTGTGCTCCCGACCCCGACTCAGACTACCAACACTCTACGCAGCCACTCCGCAGCCCCTCCATCCGGGGATGGCGCTGCAGTGAAAACACCACGAAGGGCTCTCAGGTTCCGCTAGAGCGAGTCCACAAGTCTCAGCTAGGGCAAAGTCAAAGGCTCTCTGAAACAACCCCCCAAAACACCACCAACGAAAACGGGATTCGAAGGGAAAACAGACAAACAAACAAAAATTCGGTTAGGGCAGTCCCGGCAGGGGAGGGCTCCTGATATACCTAACAGGCCAACAAAAAACCTCCAAGAGAGAAAGGCTAAGAGAGCTCGACACCACAAGACGTCTTGCAACCACCTTAAAACAACTGACCTCCACCACCTGTCCCTTCCTGGGCTGGTCCAGGGGAGAAGTAGCCTTATAAAGAAAAGGGACCACGCACAAGCCTGATCACCACTCCAGGGGCCCGGGATAGCCCGGCGAAACCACCAAAGCGTATGTATGTATGTGTGTGTGTCTCCAGTGTGTGTGTTTGCGTGAAAACCAAAACAAGGATCTGGGCAGCCCCCTCTGGGCAGCCCCCTCTGGGCAGCCGTGTGGTTGCTTTATACTCCGGCAATGGCTGGCTTTGGATGTCGCAGATAAATCTTCATTTTTTGCAGCATTTGCATCATCTCCCCCTACCTTCCCCATGCTCACATACACACACACGTGCACCCACCCACACACCCACACACACACATAGGGGCATTCTGGCTCCCGCTCAGTCGACGTCTGGCTTCGCTTTTGCCTTCCCTACCCCCTCCTCCCTTCGCGGTACCTCTATACAGATATCAGTGCCGCTACAGCTGCGCTTCTGGACCGAGCCCGAGTGCTGCAGCTGTTTCCCAACCATCCCAACCGTTACAACCGCAACCACCAGCACCTAACCACCAATACCTTTTCCCTTAGCCGTACCTCCATCACCTTCAGCGCCGGGGGTCTCTCTTTCCGAGAGCCATTGGGGGTCACGGAGCTGTCTGCTACTGCTGCTACTGCTGCTACTGCGAATGCTGCTACTGCTGCTGCCAACGCCGGTGTCAAGGCCGACGCAGCCGACGCCACCGCCATGGCGGCTGAGGAACGGGCGGCCACCCCCGAGGTAAACCGGGTTAAATTGACTTGGCTTAGCTCGGTGTGTCTTCGACTACTTGGGTTCGGTTTTCTTGGTTCAGCTTGGTTGGTTTGGTTAGGGATTTTGAAGAGCGTCGCGTGGGTAGGGAGGGGTTCGGAGGGAAATTGGAGTACATCCAGGAAGACTGTGTGGGGGCCCTGTCCATGCACGCACGAGCGAGGCATCCTGTCGTGTGCTCTTACGGTATGCTGCTGCTGCTACCGCTACTGCTGTTACTGCTACTGCTATTGCTGCTACTGCTACTGTTGCTGCTACTGCTACTGCTGCTACTGCTACTGCTGCTACTGCTGCTACTGCTACTGCTGCTACTGCTACTGCTGCTGCTGCGTGTTTTACCACCTGGGTGATCCGCACAGGCCCTCACCCTGTACGTGGAAAGTGGCATCCCCGAGCTGGCACCCACGCCCGCCGGGCACGTCGGCGGCAGCAGCACCATCGCCGTACACATCCCCCTAGCTTCGACATCGCCCGCGATGCTGCCCGGGAACGGCAGGCTGAATGCAGGCTCGGAATTGCGCGCGGATGCTGGTGTGGACATGCCGGCAGCAGCAGCAGCCGCGCTGCCAGCACCGATGAGAACAGCAGCAGTAGTAGAGCCCCCAGCAGTGGCAATTACAGAAGCAGCAGCAGCAGCAGCAGCAGCAGCAGGGGGCCCAGCGGGGGTAGCTCCGGTGACGGCGGCGGCGGCGGCGTTCCCAGCTGACCAGCTACAGCTGACTCCATTTCAGTGCCCCAGCATTTCCACCAAGGCAGCCGCGGACGTGGGTTTTGGATCCGCAGGTCAGAGCGTCAATGCCGCCGCCGCCGCGGCGGCGGCGGCGATCACTTCCGCAGTTACGTCATGGGTGATGGACCTTCCGGACCCTTTGGGCTCGAGTGCGGCTTCTTTCTCTGCTGCGGGGGATTCAAGAGCGGCCTCATTCTCGCAGCGTTATAGAACCATGTCACGCCTGGCGCTGTTGTACAGCACCAACGGGGGTGGCGGCGCCGGCGCCGACAGCAGCGGTGGCCGCTGCGCAAGCGGCGGCAGCGTTCACATTATCCGCCCTTTTGGAGTGACCGACAGCGAGGCTGGCACTCTGCTGCCTCAGCCGTCACCGCCGCCGCGCATGGGACACCTTCCGGCCGCAGCCATTGCCGCCGCCGTGTCCGCCGGTGGGTCAAGGAGTCACCCAAATGCGTGGTGGAATATGGGACGTGGAGGCGCTGCCAGCAGCACATTAGTTTCCGGCAGTGGGGGCCCCGGCGGCGGCGGCGATGGCATGAGCTCGATGCACAAACGAGTGCCAGTTGGCGCCGCGATTACTACTCAGCTGGCCTTGACGGCGGCACCGACACCGATGACAGATGCGGACGGCGTGTCGTTGCCTACGGAGCTGCGAACCACGACGGCGGAGGGGACTGTCCCCACCGCTGCCACTGCTGCTTCCGCTTCCCCTGCTGGACAAGCTTCTGGCAATCCAGGTCTAGACTCATGTCCCATGCCCTTCCTCGAATCAGCACGAGCGGACGTCGCCGCTGCCGCCGCGGCGGCGGCCACGGCGGACTTACCGTTGCCACCGCGCACATCAAGCTATGCGCCGCAACCGCTTCCAAAGGACTATGCAGCGGTGGCGGCGGCTATGATGGTGGCGGCGGCGGCAGCTCCGACGGGAGGTGTGACATCAATGACAGCGGCGGCGGCGGCGGACAGTCCTCGGAAATCGCCTGTCGGCGGCTTGCTGTCTCCGTCCCTGGCGTCCCCGGGAATGTCACAAATGCAGCATCTGCAACGTAATGGGGACAACGGCGGGGGTGGTGCTGTCGACGAAGCGAGGCAAGTCCCCCAGCTGTCGACATGGCTGACGGCGGCGACGACAACCGTGGCGGCGACAGACGCAGCAGCAGCCCAGCGGCGGGAACGCGGCGGCATGGGGCTACAGGTCGTACGACTGGCGCAGTATTACCGCGCCGTCTACAGGGTCGTCAATGCCCGGGGCCAGTTGATGTCGTACTTCAAGCCCTCCGCCAACATTGCCGCCGCCGGCGGCAGAGCAGGTGGCCGTGGCGGTGGCGCCGTCTGCAGCACGGCTGCTGCTGCGGCACCGCCCCGAAACGACGGGATTGACAATGCCGTACAGATGTGCCCTGCTGGGCCGTCGACGGTGGAGGAAGCGCTGCCGCGGGTGACGCCGGCGGAGGCCCGACGTACGGCTGATGTGGCTCAGTCGTCGTACACTCGCTTCTCCGACCCGCTCTGTGGGCATGGAACGGCCAACCAAGACGTTGAAGACGACCTGGACAAGGTTGCCACCGCCGCTACGGCGGCGGCCGTAGCTGCGGCAGCTGCTGCCGTGGGGGCCGTGAAGGGCACTGGTTCTGCGGGAGCAGCAGCGGCGCTGACTTGGGAGGTAAGGGCAAAGAGCCCGGCTATCGTACACATGTGTGCACACCTCTCCTACAGCTGTACAGCTTGCCCCATTAGGGGCTCAAAACCTCGAACTCAAAATTTGAGACCAAGATCCAATCCAAACTCCAAACCCTGTTCCAGATCAAAATTTAAGATCTTAGAGAAAGATTTCTCCCTTGCAAAGATTCAAATGCCACAATCGCCTGAACGGCCTGATGCCGTACCTACCGTACATGTACCTGCCGTACCTGCGATGGAGAGCTTCGGGGAGGACCAACTGCAGCGCTTAGTCTCCATGTGGTTTTGGGTTACACCTGGCACGCTACCTGGGGCTCAGCCCTTGCCTTATCTGCTCTGGTTGCTATCGTGTACGGCGCCAGGGACATGAGGCACATCTGCCTCTTTCATGTTTAATTTTTCATGTTAAAGAGCCTGGCCTCGCCGCCCTGTGCATGCCTTCTTTACCTTGCGTCGTACATGCAAAATGCAACTCGCCTTGCCGCCATTGCTATCGTCATCGTCATAATAGCAGCAGCACCAGCAGCAGCTTCTTGCGGAGTCAGCACCTACTGCTACAGCCACAGCAAGGCCACTTCAGCAACCCCAGCAGCTCCAGTACCAGCACCGGCAGCAGTGGCAGCACAAGCATCAGCAACAGCCGCAGCCACAGCAGCAACAGCAACAGCAGCAACATCAACAGCAGCTGCGGCGGGCTGGGCGGCTGTCGCGGCGTTCCCTAACGACTCTGGCTTCAGTGGATGACGTCCGCAAGACCGGCGGCGGCAGTGGCAGCAGTGGCGGCGGCGGCGGCGGCGGCCGCGCCTTTTTTGAGCTCCGGACGGCTGATGGCGGTGGTGGCCGTGGCGGCGGTGGCAGTGGCGCCTGCTCGGAAGGCGGTGGCAAGGAGAAGGATAAGTGCAGGTCTGGCGCTGGAGCTGGCGCTGGAGGGGAGGCGGGAGGTGGCGGCGGTGGCGGCGGTGGCGGCGGCGGCGGCGGCGGTGGGTTGCACCGACGGAACAGCCGAAATATCCCTCTACCCTTCCGCCGGGAGAGCAGGTGGGGCGTGGGAAAGTGTGCCGTAGCCTTCTACGTGCGGATCGGTTAACTGGGTGTTTGGATGCCAATCCTGCCCTGTCCTATACACCCCCCTTTTGTCCACCATACCTACGCTCTCACGCGACATCACTCCCTCATCACGCGCCACCACCCTCAGTGGCATCTTCCGTTCCAAATCCATCCTGGAAGCGGAGGGCCGGATGCATCTGGTTCGCAACCTGGCATCCGGCGGCGGCGGCGGCGGCGGCGGAAGTGACGACGAGGAATCCGAGCCGGAGCCGGAGCTGGAAATGCTGGCTGAAGAGACTTGTACGGAAAGGTATTCGAACAGGCCACACAGCGGCGGCGGCGGCGGCGGCAGCGGCTATGGCCGGCAGTTGCGCGGCGCCGAGGCGTTGGCGTCGGCATCGGTGTCGCAGAGGCGCTTGATGCGGCAGGCGAGGGCGGCAGCGGCGGCGATGGCAGCAGCTGCGGTGGCGGCGGTGACGACGGCGGCGACGCCACTGCGGTTTTCGCTGACGTCGCTGGGTTTGACGGAGGCTGGCGAGGCCGCAGAAGTGGAGGAGAAGGGGCGCAATGAGGAGGTGGAGCTACTGCTTGCGGAGTTTGGGACGCTCGTTCAGCGGTGGGTGGATTCTGACGAGTGACTAGTGTGTATGTGTGTGTGTGTGTGCGCGCGCGTATTATCGCAGGGCTGCGCTTTGCGAGATGTGTATAAAACATGTAAATGTTAGTGAAGGCGTTGGGATAAAAAGCAAAGGCGCAAAGACCTTGTGATACATGACGTGTGAAGCGTGAGACACGTGTGCGCGTGTTTGTGGGTTGGTTACACCTGGAAAAAGTTGGTGGGGGGGGGGGGGAATGTGGTTTCCTGGACGGAAGGAAGGAAAGGGTGGAGAGGAAAGATACCCACCCTCAGTCTCACTTCCACTCTCCGGTGACACGGATTAGGTCCGCCTAAAGGAGACGTTTTTTGGGGTTTTCGGGTTCTGGAGTCTCACGTGGATTACATAGATTGAGAGGACGCGGCGGCTCATGTTGGCAGAAAGGAAAAATCAGAAACCACCTCAACCCGAAGTCCTTCCGTTCAAGCCCTATGAACCAACCCCCAATCCAACCCTCAATCCTCCCCCTCCTCCTTTAAAAAAAAAGCCCAAGCAACTTTGAAAACCCGCACCCCCGGGTGAAACCCCCGCAGCGGCCTCCGTGTGTGCATGGGCCTCAGCTCAGGCGTCTCGTCAAATGAAGTGTCGTACAACAAGACCGCCAAGCGCATGCAGTATGGCGGGCCCAGCCTGCACGTGGCACGTGCCGTGTCGTACTCGGCGCACGGCACCGCATCCCGACTTTTGCTGAGCGGCTTCGCATACAAGCAGCTAGGATCCTTTCGGGGTCCGGGAGGGGGTTGGGGGGGAGACCCCCCGGGGCTGCGTGCGGGTTATGGTCCCGGAGCCAAGGCGCGTGGCGGAGGCCGAGGCGGAGGCGGCGCCGTGACGGTTCTCAACATTGGCGAGTACAGGTTACGGCGGCCGTACATGCTGCCGCAGGCGTTGGATCTGTACATGGTACGTAAGCCGGAAAGGGGCATGGAGGGGACAAGGAGGGAGGGAGCGTGCGAGCTCGCGAGTCATAACAGCATGTCGACCCCATGGTCGGCCCCATAGTCGGCGAAGCGCGTGGTGTCGGGCTGTACGCGAGCAAGAGATGTATGCATGCATGCATGTATGCATGTATGCATGCTGATTTAACCCCTTCCTTCCCCCCCTCCTCCCTCCGCTTGTGCCCCTGCCCCCCAAATCCCGCTGCTCGCCCACAGCCCCTCACCGCAGGTCAGGGGCCTTGCCTGGCTTCACACAGACGACCCCGGGGTGCCGTACAGACACAAGGGGGGGTGATGGAGGCCCCCCTCGGAGACGTCACCATTGTGTTTGTCAACGTGGTGGGGGTCAGCACGCTCCTGGCCTGGGACGTGGTGGGTCTGGGGTTTGGAGGGATTTGGGGTGTTTGAAGGGCTTTGTAGAAGGGGGGAAAAACTGTACTCGGGTTTTGGTGGCGGAGTGAAGGGAGCCACTAGGGGTCGGATGGAACACCGTTTGATTCCCCCGCTCTCTCCCCTGCAGGGGAATCAAAAATTCCATCTGCTGTACATTTTCCAAATTTAAACCCTCCCCTTACCCGCGCCTTACCCTTCCCTCCTCCCCTCCTTCACCCCGCCCGCTTCTCCCCTCCAGTCCGAGGCCCAGGCCGCTCTGTCCCTATTCCAGTTTGTGGCCACGCGACAGGTGGCGACATTCGGGGGGTATCTGGTGGAGCTGGCGGATGGGCTGTGTTTGGCAGCGTTCACGGACCCCGCGGCCGCCATCAGGTGTGTGCGTGTGTGTTTAGGGGGAGGCGGGGGAGGGGAGGGGGAAGGGGTCTAGGCATAGGAATCAAGCTGGCGATAAGGGCTGGATGGGGCAGACGATGGGAGAGTCAAACCAAACCCAACACGCAACACACCTAACTGCTGCTAACCCTGCTCCTGCTGCTGCTGCTATACCTGCTCCTGCTGCTGCTGCTGCTATTCCTGCTACTGCTGCTACTGCTGCTGCTGCTGCTATACCTGCTCCTGCTGCTGCTGCTGCTGCTATACCTGCTACTGCTGCTGCTGCTGCTATACCTGCTATACCTGCTACTGCTGCTATTCCTGCTACTGCTGCTACTGCTGCTACTGCTGCTGCTGCTATACCTGCTCCTGCTGCTGCTGCTGCTGCTGCTATACCTGCTACTGCTGCTGCTGCTATACCTGCTATACCTGCTACTGCTGCTGGTGCTGCTATACCTGCTACTGCTACTCCAACACACAGGTGTGGCCTCACCCTCCTAGACCGGCTGGTATCTGCGGACTGGAGTCCCAAGCTGCTTGAGCATGAGCTGTGTGAGGAGGTGGTGGTTTCGGAGGTACGACAGGCCCCGGAGTGCGCCACCCCGTTCCCCGGACACCCCTCCCCTCCTCACCCTCTTGCTACTGCTACGGCAACTGGTACTGCTGGTACTGCTACTGCCGCAACGTCACCTTCCCCCGGGAGGGAGACCTCTGCCAGTGGGACCCACCATCAACATAACTATAAACACAACCACCACCAGCATCACCGCATACATCAGCAAAGCCGGCAGCACCAGCACCAGCACCAAGGGCTACTGCCGGGTGGTGGTGTATCGACATGCATGACTGCGGCCGCTGGGAGCGGCGGTGGCACCGCCGCTGGTGGCGGCGCCGCTGGCAGCAGCGGCGGTGGCATCAGCAACAGCGGTGCATTTTCGTTTCGGCGATCCAGTCTTCGCGGCAAAGCCCGCACCAGCGTGGGTAGCCACTTCACAAGGGTGCTGTATCGGGGGTTGCGCCTCAGGGTACGACAGGGCCGTACCGCAGGGTACGGATGGGAAGGGACCTTAGCCCACAAGGGCTCCGGGGTCAGGAGGTGAAGTCAGGAGATAAGGGTACGGCAGGTGGTACGGCAACAGCCCTTGTGCCATGTGCAATTTAGAAGGAGCGACAACCACCACGTTCACATGTGTGTGTGTGTGTTTTCTTGTTTCCCGGGCTTTTCCCCCTCCCTTTCTCCCTCCCTTTCCCCCACATGCAATCGCTCAGCAGCCGCATTATCCTAATTACAGAACTCACCCTCCCCACCCCACGCCACCCCACCCCACCCGTCACCTCACCTAACCCTGCATATGTACGGACCGTACGTGCTCGCCGGAACGCGTTCGGCGTCGTACGCAGATCGGAATTGATGTAGGGCCCGTCAAGGCGGAGATCAGCGCTGTCACCGGCCGCGTGTCGTACAGAGGAAAGTGCATGAACCGTGCGGCACGGATTGCCGCCAAGGCGCCCGCCGGTCAGGTATGTATGTCTGCGGGGGAATGGGAGATGAGGCGGGATGGGGTGGAGGCGGGAGTTTCGGTATGTCTTTCTGTAAGTGCGCGCGCTTATGTACTTAGTCTCTCCGACCCTCGACAGCGGACATTTCCGGAAGGCCCTGTGTGTGTGTGTGTGTGTGTATGTGTATGTGTATGTGTATGTGTATGTGTGTGTATATATATGTGTGTTTCGCTTACCGGCGCGCTCTTATTTACCCCCGGGCTAAATCTAGGTCACCCTCCGGGCCCCCGCCTACCTTTCCGCTACACGCGCCTCGTTCCCTAACCGCTCAACTCCCGGCCCGTTTCCCTTCCCACTTCTAGCTCTGGTGCAGCGGAGACGTCTGGCGAGCCTGCGGAGGCACATCCGCGCCGCCGGCACCGCCGCCGCCGCCGCCGCCGCCGCCACAAACTCAGGCAGCGATGCCGCCGCAACTACTTTCCCCTCGTCCGGCATTGCAGCCCTCCCCCCTCCACCATTCCTTGTCGCATCGAGAGACGACCGCGATAGCGACGATGGGTGTACGGCGACGGGGCAGCACCTGTACGACAGACGGTGGCGGAGGCGACGATGACGGTAGCGAGCAGATGCACACGCCTGTGACGGCTCGTTACCAGGGCCGCCACCAACTGAAGGGCGTTTCAGAGCCGATGGATTTATGGAGCTGCAGGTAACGCTGTGCTGGAAGTTGTGGGGGTGGGGTGGGGAAAGAGGGCGGGCCGCCGTAGCAAGGGGGGGGTTGTCGTGATTCGCGACGTCAGGATCGGTTTGTTTGTTGCGTTCGTTTGCTTCATACCACTACGTTTGAGATTAAGGTGCTAGCTTAGGGTTTATAACGCTGGAAATGGGCGGTTCATCAGTGTGCGGCGCGTCAGCTACTACACGCCACAATTTCCCTGGTGAGCTGCTGGGAGCTGCTGCGGTGCGGCGGCGGCGGCGTCTCCCTCGGCGCCTCCCCCCCGGCGTCCCCTAGGCTTTTGACCAAGGGAAGCTATCCAAGGCTCCCCAATACTCACTTATCTCCCGCACTTTTATCCGCCGCCATGGTAACTAACGTAGCTCTGAATGGTTTTGGTTAAGGGTGCAGAAGCAAGCTTGGCGGTCCGCCGGCTGGTCTTTTGTAACAAGCGAGCCCTAACAAGCACGGGGCTGCAGCAAGGCAGCAGCTTTCAGCATTTTGTAGAGGGAGGATTTCTTTCTTCCTCAGCACGTAACGTGTGGTGGTAGGTGTTTATGGACGTTGAGGTACGGCGGTAGTCGTGAGTTGCTCCATTTCTCCGCCACCTCGTCCCGCTGCTCCCGCCGCTGCTGCAGGTTCGACGGCGGCGCTGCCGGAAACTTCCCCAGCGTCTGCATGTCGCCGTCGTACGCGCTCTCCCCTTCCGTACTTCGGCGAGCCTCTGCCGTACTCGGCAGCGGCGGCGGCGGGACTCTAATGATGACGCAGAGCGCGCCTCTTTCCGCTCATGCCATACAGGCCGCGTCCGCTGCGGCACCGATAGAAGCGGCACTGCCGGCGGAAGCCGTACCGGCACCTAGCACGCCAGATCGCAGGGGTGGCGGCGCCGCCCCTTCCGCCTCCGCCGCCATCGCTGCAGCAGGCGCAGGCTTCCGCCAGGTCTTCCCGGGCCATAGGAGGTCACTGGAGGCTCTCACCATGGACATGAGCTCGTCCCTGCCCGACAACAACCAACTCAACTACCAACGGGCACCGTCGGACAGTGGCGTCAACAAGCCGGGCTCGCCGTGTGCTGCTGGGTGGGCTGCTAGCGGCAGCAGCGGCGGCGGCGGCGTCAGGGTTGGCGGCAACGGTAGCGCCGGCCAGTCGCTGCGTGGTGGTGTGGCGTCGATGTCAATGCCGATGAAGACTCCGCCGCGGCCACTGGCACCGCTGCCGCCACCGCCGTTGGGTTACGGATGTCCGGCAAGGCCCCTCTTCTCCGCCGGACGGCAGGTACGGCAACGTTCAACAATGGCAAAAGCACCGTATGTGCATAAGCTGCAGCCTTTTCCAAGCTCCTTAGCAACCCGCACTGACTACTGTGACTATTTTGAGCCTCCACTTTAGGTGGTTGGTTTGGGTTTGAAGGCTTTTTCCTCAAGGATTTCGTGCATATTTTTTATTTTTAAGCACGTGTTGTGCTTATTTTTGTGACTTTTGCTGCAGGTTGATAACGGTTTGGATTTGGAATCCCCTTTCACCGACCACCCCGCCTTCGTCAAAACCATGTCTTCAATGGATTGGAGTGTTCGTAGCGGCGCCGGTGGCGCTGGCGGCGCTGCCAGTGTTGTTAGTAGCGGCAGCAGCCGCGGCGGCGGCGGCGGCGAACTAACCTTATCCCCGCACCCCTCCTTTCTGGCCAGCAACCCCACCTTCACCCCCATGCACATACACTCCGCGTGCACCCCCCGCGCCGCCGCCAGCCGCCTGCGCCATGCGACGCTTGCCAACAACTCCAGCGCTAGCGTTGGCGCTGGCGGCACCGGAGGCAACAGCAGTAGCAGGAACAGCAGCAGCAGCAGCGTCGACGGCGACGGCGACGGCGACGACGTCGGGAGCGCCGCCGTGGGGCCCGTGTTTTTGCCGTCAGGGGGTGCCACGATGATGAATCACGAAGCAGCACGGGGGATGCCGCCGCCGTCGCCGCCGCCGCTTCCGTTCTCCGGCGCGATGATGTCGTCCAATAACGGCGAGATCGACGTCACGTTGTCATCGAGGTCCATGGCATCTCTGGATTCCACACAGCGCCTCGAGATGGCGCTACAGGGTCGGGCAACATTGCGCTACGGGCTTGCGGAAGGGGCCACATTGCCCATGTCCTGAGGACCGTAGGGAACTGGAGTTCGTCCTGCGCGGCAAGATGCCCGTCCGGTCCACTCCGTGGCCCTCCGTCTCCGTCTCCGTCTCCGCATCTGCCGATAGAGGCAGCTTCGGACGGCTTGTACTCATTGCCGCCGGCACCGGCGCGTTTTCAATACCGTACACGCAGAAGATCGTATGGCGGCGGGGAACTACCGGACGAGCTGGCCGCGGCGGAGGCGGCGCCGGTGCCGACGAGTCTCCTGGCTGTGGCAGCGACCCGCTACTTCCCTCCTTTCCCGCTCTGCTCATTCTCACCTCATCTCACCTCAAGTTCTCATCCAAACTTATATAATCAATACAAATTTAATATACTTGATATGATCCCCCTGTCCCACACATATACTAAATATGGGATGTTAGGACAAAAAGATGAAAGGAATGCAGTTCTGCCCTGGCGGGGCTAGCGACCCTTTTCACGAGGTGAGGTCGGCGGTGGAAGCCAGTGAATGCCCTGGAATGAACGAACGACGACGAATCCTGGTGCTGGCAACTGGCTGACTGAACGGTTGGGCTGGGAGGGGAGGATGTCGCTCGATGTAGGGGTGGCGGGCGGCCCGGGGCACGGGGAGTGGTGGTCGACAGGTCGACAGGTCGACAGGACAAAAAGTTAGCTAACTAGTCAAACGGACGAGCATCCTAGGAGGGCAAGAAGTGCAAGAATCAATGAGGGTGGCCGGCACCGAACAAGGAAGGCGATGAGACCGCTTTGCATCAACATGGCATGTGCTGATGACACTGCCAACGGCATGAGTTTGGCAGTTATGAGAGCAACGAGAAGGGTTAGGTGGAACATGTTGAGATTTGGAAAGAGCCGGGGGGTTGAGGTTGTGTGAGGTGGTGTGGTTTGGTATGGTGAGTTTGGGGGTTTCGGAGCCAACCAACTGTTGCGCTGTAGTCGTCGAAAGACCTCAAATAGGGAGGAGGAAGAGGACGAGCCGGAAAAGCTCATGGCTATGAGCACCATCCCAGGGTCTCTACAATACGATACTCACGCGAGCATTTAAAAAAATATAATTTTCCTGATGCAGTTCCAATCCTATTGATATCTGTAGAAGTATTTGTGTTCATTGTTGTTGTAATGGTGGTGGAGGTGGTGTTGGTGGTGTTGGTGGTGTTGGTGGTGGTTAGGAAGGAGGGAAAGACGGGACTGCACAGCGAGCGCGTGTGCAGCTCAGGTACCGTGGGGCTCGCGTTTATGTAGGTGCGGGGATTACGGGCACCAGGTATTGGAGCGGTAAGAGCAGGCCAAGGCAAGGCAACGTGAGGCAGCTGGTAACGAAATAAGGGCCCAAGGGTTGGAGGATGTGAGTTTGGAGGGTGTGCATGGCGTTGGTTGTAGACGTGAAATCGAACCTGTCCCTGTTAACGTGTGCGTGAGAATTGTGGGTTGCGTTGGTTTCTTATGGCTTGCTGGCAGCGTGCCTGAAATATGACGTTTTATGTGTTTCGTCATTCATCTTTGCCAACTAGCTACCATCCGAAGTTGCTTTTGCGGTGGTTACGATTCTGGTTAGGACTAACTGCCAGCTGGGCAGGCAAACAGTTCGGTATATTGGCGAGTACGTATGAGTAGTTAAATATTATATGTACGTGTGTGTTCGCGCGTGACCGTGTGCATATGAATATGCGTTATAAAGACGCGCATGCTTATATTTCGAAATACGCGTTATGACTTTCGTCGCCCTAAAATCACGCCCTGTGTTCAAAAGAGGGTGGGTTGAGCATCTGACAAAAAGCTACATCCTGCAAAAGCAACCAACACGCACAAAACGCATGTTCCAATTGAACTGCTGAAAGAGGCGGTATGATACTTTCTCCCTTAGGCTCAGTCCATTTCCAACTCCACCGCTCCCGGGGGGGCGGCTTGTGTCCCGTTGTCTCCATCAAGTCCCCCAGTGCTCCCCTTTTACTGCACATCAGGGGCCGGTGGGACAGTGTACAATAAAGAGCGGGGGCTGCGCTCTGCGGCATTGCGGTAATCAGGGCACGGTAGCACGCCTCCTTTTCCTCCCGGCAGCCTCCCCGGGCCATGCCTCCGTTCAAGGGGTCCGTTTCAGGGCCTCCTACAGCACCGGGGGTTGTCCGCCCCGATGATCCGCCGTGAAAGCCCGCGCTGGGATGTCCCTGTGACGTGACGGAGCGGAGCGGACCTGTGTTGGTCGCTGCACTGCTTTGTCTAGTGTGGACGACGTGGGGCGAATTGAAGGTAGAAGTTCTATACCGCCAACCACGCTCGCTTGTATGTATGTTTGTATGTATGCATGCATGGTTGTATGCATGTATGTGTATGTATGCATGTATGTTTGATTACATGTATGTGTATGTATGCATGTATGTTTGATTGCATGTATGTGTATGTATGCATGTATGTTTGTATGCATGTATGTGTATGTATGTATATGTATGTGTGTAGGGTCATCAGTAGTGGCTGCGAATGGGCCTTGTTGTGTGGGTTACGACACACAGGCGCTGGCTGGTGCTGGTGGGTCATGGTGACGAGGTCCCGGTTCCTCGGGTAGTTAGGTGGTGACGTGGCGCGTACTCATCTCCTTAGGTGTGACTACGTCAATGAATGTATGTACGTATGTATGTGCGTAAATGACTGCTCACTTTTTGAAATATGCATGTGGCCCGGACAGGTCGAAAGTTAAATCGATAGATACGTAGGAAAACATATCATATGAGGTTCATCCGTCATCTCCATTACATGTTACACCACCAACTCGTCTACATAATCTACTTGATAAAGCGCCAGGGGCTCACAAATAAAGCTGCTGGTCAAACTAAACAAGTGAGACGCACGGGGCGCACGTGCACCTTCCTTTCTTCCATGCTTTCCCTTCCTCTCTTGCTCCGCTTCCAGGCTTTCCCTGGGGGGGGGGCCCTTACTCGCCGCTCCCTGCTGCCGAAGCTCATATGTTACTGTGTGCACCCGACGACATTGCCAGCTCCTCGCCTCGCTGCCGACCAGCGTAATACGCCCCACGTCTTCCTGTCCAACACACCCACCCACACTGGGCGACTCCCATCCCAGTGTCTACACAGCCACAGCCACAGCCACACGCCTACCGGCGACTACTGGCATCTCCTATATCTCTCCAGACCGAACACGCACCCGTCTCCCAAGTCCGACCACTGCAAAAAAGGCCAACGCGACGTGCCGCATCACATCAGATCACACGAGCCGCTTCCGCTTTCGCCCCGTGTACTTGCTGTCGGCTGCGATGTCATAGCCCTTCTTGCGCATCTGCTCCTTCTTCTTCAAGATCCATTCGCGGCCCTTGGTTCCGGAGCCACTGCCACCGCCTGCCGTCTTGCGACGCTTGTGGCGGTCGCGACCAGCCACCTGACTCAACGTGTGCGCGTGTGCATGCATGTGGGCGTGTGTACGGCGGAGCAGGGGGGGATGAGGAGAGGTCAAACACCATTTCGCCATGATGATGGTCCATGATGATCCATTCATGTCTAAACAACGGAGCGGATCTTTGCCTATTTGTAATCTGGTGTTCGTGCATATTCATATCTACATACCTACATACCTACATACCTAACGTTTCTTGAATTCTTACTTTCAATGCTTCAGTGCCATTACGGTGGACACACAGCCCGCACAACCCAACACTACAACGAAAGAACCAACCCTAAGTGCCGCTCACGTGATCAGGCCCCCGCCAAACCAGCACACCTATAAACACATACATACATGCCGACCCTTGCGCTGTGTTTCGGCTTCGGCCCCCGGCTCTCGCGGCCCACAGTGTAATCTAAGTCATACATGCATAATTACATACATACACACATACATACATACACAAGTTTCTATCCACGTTACACCACACACGAATACAGCAATGCAGCTGCAACAGTAGACTTCTGCAACCCCCTTGCCAATCCAGCGAGAGGAAAAGCGATATTAGCCCGCACACAATCCCACCTTGACCTGCGCCTCCTCCTCCTCGTCCTCCGGCTCGCTGCCGTCTAGTCCCTTTGCTTGGGGCGTTGCGGCGCTTGTACCCACCATCAAAACCAAAAAGTACTTCTTGGCGCGAGTTGAGTGGGGATAGTCCACCACGAGGCCCCCAGAAAAGCCCACCTGAATCATGACATCAATGAATCATGACATTGATATTGCAAGACGAACGACATGCATACATTCATACATGTGCCACCACCATCCGAAGTTCCCTCATCACGGCTCCGAAAATCATAAAGACACTTACTTTCATGGCCGCCGCCACCAGCATCTCCGCTTGCTGGGGGTTCTCCGGATAGATTTGCAGCACCGCCCGGGCCCCCCTCCGCAAAGACATGTAGAGAGTCTCGAAAAACCGCTTCATGCGCTTCCTGATGCAACAACAGCAACAACACCAGCGAAGGCGCAGCCGTGCACGAGGACAACTGTGACCCCCACAACGGTGGACATCCTCCCAGACTGGCCCCCCCAGCCATCCCTCCACAGAGCTCTGAGCTGCTCGCAGCCCACTACCGGCCGCCCTCTCGGCCGCACTCACCCCCTCCCACACGCATACCCTTCCCCACAGCTCACTTTTGCCTACGCAGCCCACTCCATCCCACCCCCTACCCTTTCCTTACCGGGGGTCATGTCCCGTCCTGTCCGCATTACACAGCCACTGCACCGCGGAGATGCTGATGGCTCCGTCGAAGGCCCCCGGGCGCAGCGGCAAGCCGTGACCCAGATCACCCAGAACCAGGTCGCCCTCAATCTGGGGGGACACGGCGGGGGACACGTGGCCCGAGAGGGGCGGGGAGGGAATGGGGGAGGGGGTGGGCGGGGTGGTGGTGGGGGGAAATAACTTACGGAGTCGAGAGCCCGGGGAGAGGTTGGGAGGGAAACCCTCAACACTCCCCCGCACAAGTCCCCCCATTACTTATCGCAAGCCGCCCCTCCTCTCCCTCCTCCACTCCTCTCCCTCCCTCCCCCGCCCTTTCCCCCCCCCTTAGTTCCAGACGAAAACTCCAGGCCAGGCAAACTCACAACCGACACAGTCCCTACAACCCACCTCCCTCTCCACGGCAACATCCAGCATGGCCTCACTGATGTCCACTCCCAGCCACATGTGGCCCGCCTCGCTGAGTGTCTCCCCGGACAGGCCGCTGCCGCAACCCAGGTCGAGCAGCAGACGTGGGATGCCGTCCTGGGGTAGGGCCAGAAGCTCCAGAGCGCGTTCGGTAAGAGAGGACTGAATGGCGATCATGCGGCTGCGGAAATGGGAAAGACGGACCACAGACGCGTGAAGCTGGTATGGGGATGGGAAGGGAAGCTGAACGGGGGCAGAGAGGGAGAGAGGAGAGATGGGAGAGGATTCGTTGGGAATATGCAAGATATGCAAGATGCAGAGGAGGTTCAGCTGCTGGCATGCAGAGACGGATTGGGTGTGGGAAAGGGAGGGGAGCAGGGAGGGGACTCAGGGGTCAGATGGAGCTTGAAACCCGAAGATTTGACGGGGGAAAGGGGGGCAGGTCGGGAGGGGGGTTAAAATTGAAAACGGCGACTGGAGCACCAGATCCGAAAGCAGTACAGTAAACCATTTGGGACAAAGGATGAAGGTACACGTGCTGGGCAGTGAAAGTGGGCCATCTTCTAGGGGGAAATGGACAGGACCCTATGCAGGGTACACCCAAGCCAGTGGCCTCAAACATGACTAGTAATTGCCTGGTTGTGGTCCCCCAGCTGGGGCTTTTAGCATGTGGCAATTCAGCACACGCTGACGGACATCTGACGGACATGAAAGCATGCCACTATGACGCCGCTGTAAACTGCACTTATTCGCAAGCAGCAATCACCTGTTGGTGGTGTACTTCCGAGCCTCGTCCGCATTGTAAAAGATGTCCGGTGGAGCCATATGCTCCGGGCGCTCACCCTTGCCCATGACTAGTACTTTTTAGAAAGATGAAGATTACTGACTAAAAAAGGAAAAAATATCGGTGCTAGTTGCCTATCTAAGCCGACGAAAAGGCAGAAATCTTGGGACGCGCAGAACCCGGGCGTTGCTGAGCTGCCTGCTGCTTGGCTACTTCGGCAATCTTAGCCTGCACCATAAACGACACGACAGCCAGGTGAGCGGCACAAGCCAATCGACGGAAACGCTTGGCACAAAGGGCCGAGTTAGGAGCTGCACCTACCTCCATCTCCTCCAGCTTTTGCAGTGTAATGGACTTTAACGGCATAAGCTTAGGTTTACATAAGATTTCAGTAAGGTTGCCCTTTTCGCTAACAACAAGACCAGCCTTCGGAAGAACTTCCTTAACAGCTGGCTGCTTCTGTGCGTTCATTTGAGCTATAAAATGCCATATAATGCTACAAGGATAGTTAAGAGGTCGATTTCGGCGGCGCCGCCCGAAAGCTCGTCGGAATCTTGCACTTTTATATAATGCTTGCTTAAACCATGCTAGCACATGCAAGAGTGGGAAAAATTTCTCTAGGAAGCTGAAGGTCAAAATGTACTCAGTAACCGAGCGACCGACACGTCTCCGGAGCTGCCGTACCATCAACCTCGCGAAACTTCCGTTTTCGAGAAGGTCGTTGCTAGCAAGATATCTTCACAGTTTCTTCCAGTTTTAGCTTGTGTACAAATTATAGGGGCAACTATCGGAATAATTAGTTATAATCGCTCTTTGACACCGCTGTCCCTTCTGCATTCTACATCTGCAAGTATTACCCATGGCTGACGACAAGGTTATGTCTTCTGTCTCAGCTGATGAGGGCATGGAGGAAACTAACGCTGATCTGGCGCCTCTGCAGACCAACGAAGCTCTTGGTGCGTCCGCGCGCCTCACGACAATGTATGGCGCCTTCCTTGACTCTGCGGTCCCCTATTCCAACCGCCACATATTTCCCTGCAGGTGAACCTTATAACAACGGCGGCATGGATGATGACTTCGATTATGGGGACGAAGTCGGCAAGGAGGTTCCGCTAACGGTGAGCCGTTGCACATGGGCCGGGACAACTTCCTCCTCTCCGCGCTGTCCTTTGCATCGGCACCATCTACAAAACACCTAAATATTCTTATAAATGCGCGATCTGGCGTAGTTGCGGGCAAACCTTACCCATTCCGGGACAACCGCTCCCTCAGCCGTAGCCGGGCAGTCTCTGCATATGCCAGTAACACGCACCAGTTGCAAAGCGTCTACCGCGGCCAGCCCCGGCTGGCTGCCTTGACGTCGAAGGAAAGGCTTTACTTGACCTATTCAACGGGATTGTAGTTAAGCTACCATACTTGGCGCACGTATTTCGCTTATTTAGCGATCCCGATGCCGCGACCCGGTAACCACCCATGTAGCCAGGCAACCAGCCAATCAGCCGGCCAGACGACTTTCGCCCCCTTCTATTCTCCTCCTTCCCATAAATTCATAACTTCCTGTTTTTCCTCATTGCTGCTCACTGCTACTGCTCGGTCCTACTTGTTGCAGCAACGGTAACCCGTTGCTGTCCATGCTACCGCAACTTACTTCGCTCATGTTTCTGCTGCTGGTGCTTCTGGCTTCGGTTCAAATAGCCAGCAGTCCATGAAATGTGGTGGCGTCGGTTTATCGTTATTGCACTGTCCTGTGTCCTTCATTTCTTGCCTGCATAGGATGACGGAGGTCTGATCAAGAAGATTATCACAGCTGGAGAAAGCTGGGAGACCCCGGAGGCGGGCGACGAAGTGACAGGTGTGTATGTATGTATGTGCGTGTATGTATGTATGTGTGTATATGTATATGTGTCTGTATATGTACATGTGTGTATATGTGTATATATCTGTGTGTGCGTGTGTTGGGGAGGGAGATATCCGTTTCCCGCGCCTTTTTGTCATCTTCCCGCCGTAACCCTTCGCCGTACCTTTCGCCGTACCTTACCGCCCGCCTCTCCCCAGTTCACTACGTGGGCACTCTGGAGGATGGCTCGAAGTTCGACAGCAGCAGGGACCGGGATGAGCCCTTCGTGTTCACCCTGGGACAAGGTACGTGTGGTCGGGTGTTAGAGGGCTCTTAGAGAATTATTTGACGATCAGCTGATTATACTTGGCTCAGTTATGAAGAAGTCGTTAAGAAGTCGTTAAAAAGTCGTTAAGAAGTCGTTAAGGAAGGTTACGCGACTGCGGGGGGGGGGGGACCGCATGGGGAAGGGGACAGGGAGGATTGAGCGGTGTGTAGGGCTGATGTCGGCAGCGGCGGCTGGGTCGGATTGGGGGAGAGAGATGCGGCGAGGGTGAATAAGAAAAACACACATGCAAACACGCACACACGGCACCCACCTGTACAGCACTTCCTGCTCGCAGCATACTAACACACGTGCACATGCACACGTGCATACATGACACATGCATAACACATAGATACATACATACATACGCACGCACAGGTCGTGTCATCAAGGGTTGGGACCTGGGGGTGGCCAAGATGAAGAAGGGCGAGACGGCGCTGCTCATCTGCAAGCCCGAGTACGCGTACGGCGCCCAGGGCAGCCCGCCGAAGATTCCGCCAAACGCCACTCTTCATTTCGAGGTGAGTGGGCGAATTAGCTCACTTGAGTGCCATTCATACTGCGTGGGAACATTACATTGATTAGTATAAATGTAATGCATGTATTGTATATTTTTTTATTTTTTTTGAGAGGTGTGTGATTACGTGAAAGTGTGTTTTGTTGCCTCTATAGCTGGTCTGAGAGGGTGTTTTGGTCTGGTGCCTCTTTATTCGATAACTGGGCATTCTCCCAGTTATACTAACATATACACGCACATACACACGTATACTGTTCGTGTATCGTGTTCCGGCCATCGCCTCCCACGTCGGTCCATATGTGTAAAACACGCGCACTTGGTGCTGCCTTCCATGCACTCGTACACACAGGTTGAGCTGCTGAGCTGGCGAAGTGTGAAGGATATTGCCGGCGACGGCGGCGTCATCAAGACGGTGTTGACGGAGGGCTCGGGGTGGGCGACCTGCGAGGACCAGTTCGAGGCCAAGGGTGGGTGGGTGAGGATTAGGGGTTGGGGGGGTCGGGGGGTTGGTTGGGGATTTGCAATACGATGAGGGGGGTTTGGGAAGAAGGGGGGGGGTGTTTCGCTACGGCACGCACAATGGATGCGGTTCCGGTTCTGGTCATAGCTGCGCCTGCGGGCTATGGAATGTGACGGATTTGCATACGAACACACGCACCACACATGCGCATTCAAAACACATACATACTTTTGTTCGCAGTTTTCAATATATATTATCTTTTGAAATGCTCATTATCTGCAGTACATTTTGAACATACGGTATAAATGTTACCTTTCATCCGCCTTTCTAACTCGTGGACGTGCGCTCGTGCGCGTGTATCTGTATCTGTACGTATGTTTGTTCCCCGTGTGCATGTGCAGTGTCGTACACTGCCCGGGTGTCCGGCTCCGAAACCCCTTTCGCCACCAGCGACGACACTCTGTTCACCGTCAGCGAGGGCCACCTGATTCCTGCCGTACGAGTTGCACTCAAGACGATGAAAAAGGGCGAGAAGGTTGCCTTGAAGGTCAAGCCGGCATGTGAGTGCGAAATTTGTACGTGATTTCGAGCATTATGAGTAGTCATGATGTTCATCATTCCGTTTACCCTGTTTTCAACATTTTCCTCAAGTGATTATTTGAATTGATTTGTTCTAGTTCTATTGCTATTTTGTCCGGGTTTTAAGCAAGAATTGTTGAAAAGGCTTGCGTATTATGTGTCTTTTGTGTCGTACATTTTTGTCGTACAACAGGATGCATCTAATGCACCTGATCAAAAAAGTTATCACCACGTCATTTTTTTAATGAACTGCAGATGGTTTCGGGGAGGCGGGCAGCGAGCAGTACGGCGTACCCCCCAACGCGGACTTGGAGGTAGAGCTTTCGCTGCTGAACTGGCACCAGGCAGGTTTCTGTTTCCCCAATAACTCTTTTAACCATACAGGGGGTTGATTGCAGCTCTGAAGGGGATTTGGCGCTGGGGATTATTTGAGTCCGGTGCGACTGCCAATGGCAGTGCTCGATTTGTTTGGCCATCAACAATTGCCCTTGAGCTATAATGAATTTTCTCTCACAATAATAAAAATGTTTTCCTGCATATGCACATTTTTTTAAACTTTTATATAAAACTTTTATATAAAACTTTTTATGTAACATTCTGATGACAAGTTTGCATGTCGCCGCCGCCTTCCTCTTTGCCGCCTCTTTCCTCTCTGCCGTGATGTTTCTGATGTTGACTCGATGCGCAATGTGGCCTATGGGTGATCGCCAACACGCAGGTGGAGCACTTGACCCCGGGCGGAGGCGTGGTGATGAAGACACTGCTGTCCAACGACAAGGAGTTCCGGAAGCCCAACGAGGGCGCCAAGGTCACTGTACGGCTCGTCGGTAAGTGCTGCAGCAGTGCCGCCACCGTACACCGCATGAATATAACCCCTGACTAGGAGCGCTGCGATAGGAGGATGGCACATTTCCAGGTTGCGAACATTCTTCTTAGAACTGCTGAAGTGCACTTGGTTCGTAGTGTGTGTTGTGTACAACACCGCACAGCCCTCCTTTTTATTGTATTCAGTGCAGCGATTGGCATGCCAGCCTGGATCATCTTTTTTCCCTTCTTTTCATGAAGAAAACTTCCCTTGCCCTCCCCTCACCCCTCCCCTCACCCATAAACACGCACACACAAACACAAACACAAACACACCTTTTTTGCAACATGCTCCACACATGTCTTCGTCATTATCGTTCATCGCATTGTCATGTCACCCTTCGTGAGCTTTGCCTCAGCTGAATTCGTGTGTCAGCGATTGTACGTATCTTATCTGATTGTAAAAACTGTGTAAGTATTTTCCCTCACCCAGGACAACTTACTTCCCTTTTACCCACAACCCACATTTTCCACTCCGCACTCCGCACCGCTCATTCAGTTTCGGGGTTTAGAGGGTGACGAAACCTCCCCTGCGCTCCTCACCCCCTCTTGTGGCCCCCCCTGTGGCTCTCCTCCAAGGTGAGGTGCTTCCGAATGGCCCGGTGTTCGTGCGCCACGAGGAGGGCTCCGAGCTGGTGTTCACGACGGGAGAGGAGCAGGTGGGGGTTGGCGGTTGGCGGTTGACGGTAGGGGATTTAGAGCTTTCCCTCGCAGTGAAAAGGCATATGTGCACCAAGATGATGAATTGAAATTTTGGATTTGAACTGGCAAGTTAAGTTTTACGATAACCCGCGAAACCAAAAATGTTCCTGACTGCGAGATCGATGTCCCTTTTCTTTTCCTTTCCAGTAGGGAACCAAACCGTTTCTGTTATGCGAAGGAGAAAAGGGAATTTTTATCCACGATGTAGTGCGATCCAATTTTGGGCTTGTTGATTTCTGATGAGTAAAAGGAAAATAAATGACGCGCGAACCTATTGACTGGTGGACCCCGCGCAATCTGCACACACAGGTGTGCGAGGGTCTGGAGGCAGCTGTGATGAAGATGAAGGAGGGTGATAAGGCGCTCGTCACCATCAACGACCCAGCCCAGGGCTACGGTTTCGAAACCGAGTACGCGGGGCCGCTGGCCGTGGTGCCACCCGGAAGTGCTCTGCAGTTCGATGTGGAGCTCGTCCAGTTTGAGAACGTGGGTAACGAGGAGGGTCACTCCTTTTCTCCTCAACCGCTTTGTTTCTGTTTTTTGTGAATCTTCCACATCGCTCTCCCTGTGTTTCGCGCACATGTTCTTCCGCATCGCTCTCCCTGTGTTTCGCGCAACAGCATGGGACCACATGACGACACGCACAAAGAGGACGCAAACCAGACGCATACACACAAGTCCCTACCCTAGCCGTTTTCTTCTTTAACTCCCCTCCTTTTTTGCCCCCTTCCGTTTTTGACCCCCCCCCCACTGAGAGCAGTCGAAGGAGTCCTGGGAGATGAATGACCAGGAGAAGGTGGAGGCCGCCAGACAGCGCAAGGAAAAGGGCAATTTGTGAGTCCGCGACTGCGCTTCACGACGCTTCAGACGAAAATTTAGAGCGCAAAATAAAATTGTAGAGATTTGCTTGTCTTTGTAGTGTCTTCCTGTTCTGTGCGTATTTACTGATTTGGGGTTGCTTTATTTCGATGCATAATACATTGGCGATACCTAATAATTACTTTCCTGCTATTTGTTTCAAGGCGCCCTCGCACCTTCGCTTCCGTTTTCGATTACAGCCCCACGGTACCTTTATGTCGCCCGCGTATCGACACCTTGCTTGCAAATATGATCGTATATACCCTATGTTTAACCTTCCTTCGCACCCAACCTTCCTATGCGCATTGGCGATCTGCAGCTACTTCAAGGCCGGCAAGGTGTTCAAGGCAAAGTCCCTGTGGGAGCGCGCTGTCAGCCTCGTGCAGTATGACAAGAGCTTCCCAGACGATGCAAAGCAGGCTTCCCGCGACATCAAGCGAAGCTGCTGGCTCAATATGGCTGCCATCGATGTCAAGCAGGCGCATTGGAAGGATGCGCTCAAGCACTGCAGCAGCGTGAGTGATCGTCAAAAAAGAAATCCCTGTTTTGTGACTAACGTGGTTTGTCCATTAGCTTTAGCTATTCGTCAACCTTAAAACGGGTGCACATGTGGGCAAAAATTTTACTTATCATTAAAGTATTTACTAGGTTGCTTGGAATGGTATGACCGACTTGTAAGACTTAAATTTGTAACCATATTCCTCATGACAACCGAGTAGCCTTCACAAAGCTGCATTTAGATCGACTCGCTTCACCTAGTGGACAGATTGTTGGAATTATCTTTAAAATATATACATAATAATGAGTTGTTTACCTTTTTCTTTCAATTGCCGCTTCAGTCAATTGCCGCTCAGTCAATTGCCGCTTCTGTCGAATCGAAAATGATGACCCACACGCTTTATTGGCGTTTTGCGGCATGCGTATGCTATATGCCGTACAATGCGTAGTCGATCTTTCTTCTTAGCCGCAGTTTCTTCCTCCCCATTTCCCGCACTCACATGAGTGAGCCACTGTTCTGTTGGGATTCCTGCCTGCGCTCCAGGGTTCGACACTGACCTTTCTGAAACTTGCGGGCTACCCCGTACCTCCCAAATTTTCCTTACGGAGGGGCCCCCGTACCAGGCTCCTGTACCGGCCGAAAACCTTACGGGGGCCCCCGTAACCCCCGCAAAACCTTTACGGGGGCATTGTCCTTGGCTGAAACGCTGTGGAAAGTGACGCTTTGCATTTTTTTGCCCTGTAAATCGTTATTTTCGTTATTTTCTCGTGAACCATTACACTCGGGGACACGGCACACTCAGCGAAAGCCAAGCGCCATGGCCGCCGCGGCCGCCCATCCCTTCTGCTCCTCTTTCTCGTCCTCCTCATCCTCATCATCATCAAAATCCTCATCCGCGCACGACTCATCGGTATCTCGTTCTACGTCGGTCTCGTAGTCACTGCCACTAAAAGCCTCATCGCCACTAGCGGGCTTGTACCAGTAATTCAATCTCTGGGTCAGTCGCAACCTCCTCATTATCATCCTCTCCGTATGGATTCAAATTAATTTTGCTAACGTCAAAAAGGCTTATCATCTACTTTCTTTGTGGGAACAGGTTGGCTTGCAGGCTTTCCATCCATTATATGGTCCGTCCTCTCCCCTACAGGGCCCCGTACGGCCTCTTATAAATCCTTAAAATCCTTACGGGAGCCACCGTAACCGGCCTTCGGCCGGTCCGGGGGCGGCCCCGTACGGGGCGCTTCGCGCCCCAAAATCCTTACGGGAGCCACCGCAAAGTCCTACGGGCCCTGACGGGGATACCGAAAAAAGGCCAAAAACTTACGGGCCCCGTACGGGGTGTCGAACCCTGCTGCGCTCTTGACTCCCTCGCGCTGCTCTCTGCCCCCCGTCTCGCTCCCACACACGCACACGCTGGCATGCACGCACGCTCATCGATTAGGTTTTGGAGATCGACAGCCAGAACGTCAAGGCTCTATACCGGCGGGCTCAGGCTCAAATGGGACTACAGGACCTGTTTGAGGCGGAACAAGACCTGAAGAAGGCCCTTGACTTGGAACCCAACAATGCAGATGTGCTGGCCTTGATGCGGAAGCTCAAGGTAGGGCGTAGGGTAGGATCGGGCACGTTTGCGGGTATGGATTAGCCCACCCCTCTTACCCCCACTCGACAGCGGTATTTGAGTTTGATGTGATGACTAAAGGTTCGCTGATCGTCGTCTCGCTAGGAGGGACAGAGTTTCCAAGCGGCATTTCCCTAGCCTTGCCTCTGCCCTGCCTATCCTCGCTTGGCACTTGCTTGGCAGCATGTTGCTCCTATCGCTAACCGCCCAACGATTCGCGTACCCACTCCGCATCCCCCTGCCTGGCTTTGCGCGCTGCGTCCCGCATTCGTTCCGACCCCTCGTACCTTGACACAACCACATACCTCCGCACCTCTCCGCCTTTCGTCTAGTTCTCGAGGTTCCATCGTTGATGCACGAGGGGGACCTCGCCGTGCTGCGCTTTTGCGTGTGGTGCATTGTTGCTCTTAAGGCGAACACTAGGTGTGAAGCCCCTGGACCCCTCTTCCTAACCTCCCCGCAACCTCTCTCCCTCCCCAGGTTGCTGTTCGGGAGCAAAACAAGAAGGAGGCGTCGATGTATTCCAAGATGTTCAAGTTCCCAGCCAAGGCCTCGAAAGCTGCGCCGGCAGCGGAGGGAGGCCACACGCCGATGGTGGTGGCTGACCAGCCTGTCGCGCCAGCGGCGGCGACGGTGGAAGCGACGGGAGAGGATGCTGCTGTGCCGGCGGCGGAGTCCGTTACGGTGGTACCTGCTGAGGCGGAGATGGCTACTGCGTGATTTTTACCTTCTGTGAAAAACTAAATCAAACTTTCAAGCGCCATGCGAAGGGCGACCTCCAGCTGCGTTACCTTCCCCCAAGTCTACTGCTGCCCTCTTTTTTAAACTCTCCGATACTCTCTCCGCTACGATAAGTAGTGAGGAGTGAAACAGAACAAGGGCCTAAGCCGACGGGAAGAAAGCCCGGGGACTTCCTTAGATCGCCACCTAGGAGGGGGGGAAGGGAGCGGCCAATGTCGCCGATTGGGAGTGAGCACGGGAGTCTGGTTGTGCATTGACTTCTGCTGCTTAGAGGCGGCGGCGGCGCTCGAGACTATCTGAGTACTGGCGAGTGAATATTTGTAGTCGTTCGCTAAACTGTGCTTTGGGGTACCGTGTACGACATGTCCCCAGGTATATGCAGTCTAGGCACTCCAAAAGTAATTACGTAGGTTGGCGTTTCAGAGCCCCCCACACTGCGGTGCTTGTCGTACCTTTAAAACGGTACATGTAGGTATAAGAACGACCTTCGTTTGGCCGCAAGTCTTTTGGTGCTTCTACGCAAAAATAGGCGAATACCTGCCCTTCAAAAGTGCATGGGCCTTGAAAGTGCTGGACGGTCGCACCGAAGATGCGTGTAGGTGCGGTCATCCTGGGCCCTAAGCATGGTGATGGGGGTGGGGTAAAACGTGCGCGCGCGTGTGTGGTGGTGTATACGTGTGTAATTGCATATGTGTGTGTGTAATTGCATGTGTGTGTGTGTGTGTGTGTGTGTGTTATCCAAAATGCACGTGCATGAGCGTGAGAAGACGGGCTTTTATTCTTCTGATTATGCACGAGGGATCTGTTGATGCTAGGAGCGAAGCCTTGCACGACCCGGAATTTTGTTGAGCTACTGCTTTCCGTGGAGTACGGGCTGCTACATGTGGATGCCTATGACAATGCAAATCTTAAACACAGCTGGCGAGTAAATATTTCCTGTGGAGCAGCGTTAGTTATACGTAGGGGAGCTGTTGACGTGCGACTACTGCAGGCGTCCTATGGCATGATTTCAGCCCATGTAACTAAGGACTGAAGCCGCTATGCGTGAAACCTGAGCGCGAAATCTTTTTCGGAACAACACAAGGAATGAAGCAACGCGACACTACAGGGTTGATTTCAAAACAAATAGCGGGATGCGAGGCGAAGTGAACTCCTGCGCAGTCCTGCGTACGGCTTGCAATTCGCAAAGACGCAACTAATCGCAAAATCTCACTTTTGTACGCGGACACATATGCGATTCAGTTTCCCCGCCTGAAGGGCAGATCTTACAAGTATTCAACCGATACTATGACAGCAGGCTAGCGCGCGAACACGTTTGCCGACGAGAATTACACACAAGCACATATAGCTGAAACTTTCCGGCACAGACCTTGCGAGATGACTGTGCGCACAATCATATACCGTCTTACCACGCGAACGACGATGTCCTGCCGCTTTGAGGACAAGAGGGGAAACGCAAACTAACCAGCAAGCCGTTGCAGGTGCTCGAACTGAAGGCGGTATGTGTTCGTGCAGCTGGGAAAGGCGGTGCATGTGGGATTAAAGCAGCGGCGGTGGGTCGCTGAGAAACATTAGACAGAGGCGGCTCACTTAACTGAAGGCCGGGGAGGGAAACGGAAACTACAATCAAGAAAAGTGATGAATCCGACTAAGACTGGTTATGGAAGGCTGGAAAGATCAGCAACAGGGAACGCTCGGTGGTAGCCGAAGACAACGTGCGGGTTGAGAGTGCCGCCTCGTAAAGTAGAGAGGGATATCTTAGAAACGAGTCCGGCAGGGGCCGCCAGGTGAGAATGAAGAAGCCTACAGTGAAGCGTGAGCGGCGGCGATAAGAATACCACTGAGACCTCCTTTACAGGCAAAGGCATTTCCACACTAGGCTGGAAAGAGATTCGGCATTTCCTTCTATGTGCGTTGCTGAGGCGGACGAAGCCATATATGCGGCATGCTGCAGCCTGCCACTTCACTGTATTTACGCTTACGTCTCTCGGCCATAGCCGGATATGACAGTGTTAACTAAGCAGCGAATACAGCGAATACCGCTCCAGAACCAGTACAGGTATCCCGCCAAACTACGATATGCAGGAGTTCTGGACGAGATATCAACAGACAGTCGCGGAAAACCGAATCACGAATGTACTCGCGTATAATCATGGGCAATTCCTTGTGACTTATGACTTTGCGAGTTGTAAGCTGTACGCAGGAATGCACTTCGCCTCGCACTCGCAATTTGTTTTAGAACTAGCCAAAAGGAATCGAAACGAATGCCGGCATTCAGCCGATTTGCATGTACCGTGAAGATGACCTCGCACTTTGAACTTGATGGAAATAGGTCTCTAAACATACATCTTTTGGCGCATCTCAATTTTGGCGCCACCATAATGCGCAGTCTAGGGTTAAATGACATTTATGCTGACCTGAGTTATGCCAGATACATACATAAAGCGCCACAAGTACCGCCAGTAATCCTGGTCGAGATGCGTATATGCTCATGACTACACGCCAGCATGGATGAGACTGCAACACCAAGTGATTACACCAGAAGAGAATAACATTATGATAAATTGTTTAGATATGTCCTGTTCTTTTACAAGCTCTCGAAAGGTCGTAAGGCCCAGAAGCTCATGGACTGCGAGCTCTAGCGTAGTCAATAAAAAAGAAGAGACATAAAAGGAAAAATAAAGACTATGAACCCTATCTACGAGAGAAAAGAGTAACTTGAGTAAGCAACTTCAGGCTTACTACCCGGCTATCAGCTGATGTCGCCTCATCCAGATGTTGTGTACGATCTGCGCAAGTCCAGAAGTACAATCAATCTTCATGACAGACCTCATATTAGGCACGGGCTCGATGTCAGCCTGGCGTATACCTAGGTTGAGAAGCCCTTCCCGTCGGCGGGACACTCTGGCAACACGTGAAATTCATCTATTGTTGCCTACACCAGCGCTCTTGGCGCGACCGACCGCCGGGTCATGCTGTCAATGCTGTCGGAGCAAAATGGCGCGCGCTTTTGCATTTGCCGTCGCTTAGGGTTTTGGCGGGCTCAGCGCGGCGGCGATAACAGCCCCGAGCGCTGGTGTGCGGCGCGGAGAAAAATAACCGGCCGAGCTAGAAGACAACCGGGCGGCAGTGCAGCTGTAACTGATATAGGGAGTGGAAGAGGTGGCAATGTTGTAGCTGGACGTCTTTTCTCGTACCTCGCCTGCGGGATGTTGCCAAGAATTCCAAACGTTAGCGATACTTGTGGCTTTTGCTATTACGTTGTAAGCGTTGGTCAGCAGTTTCACTATACATTTATATATAGATACAAATAGTCATCTGGCGTCAGACCGATGGATGGATGGATGTTACAAAAACAATAACTCACACTTTTGCACGTTGACAGTGAGACCGAAAGCCTCTGACCACTCCCGCAGTGCCCGTAGTAAGCTCATCAACCGTCTCAATGACATCGCAAAAAGGCTCAAGTCATCAGCATAGAGGGATAGGGGCACTCGACGTCCTTCAACGCTAGGGGTGTCATGGGCCGCCATGGCGTCAGGAAGTGCGACGTCTAGGGCATCAATGTAATCTGCAAAACCTTCGACAAAAAAACCGAAGAGCGTGGGGCTCATTGGGCAACCCTGCTTGACCCCTTGGGTGGAGGGAATCGCCTCTCCTTTTGCTCCATTAACCTGGACTCGCATTTCCACCCGATTGTAGCAGCGCTTGATGACATCTAACGCAGAACCCGTGACTCCTCGTTCCTCAAGTCTAACCCAGAGCAGCTCTCGATTAACCTGGTCAAAAGCTTTCTCAAAATCAATCTGGCAAACAAACAACGCTTGTCCCGGGACGTTAACAAAATCCTTACGCCATCGGTCTGTGAGGTGTCGCACCAAGAACAAATTCTGAGTGGTGCCGCGCCGTGGCCGAAAGCCAGTCAGACCGAATGGAAATTGAGTTTACCGACACCGAAATCGTTGTCGACGTACAATACGGTACGTGCAGAAGTGCGCTACCTCTTTAAGCCGCAACCGTGACGATGTGCAGCTCAAAAGCTGAAATTTATTAGATAAGGCCATTAGCTGAACATCAGGAGGGCTTGGTGTTGAGGAAGCTTATGTATCAGGCAAAGAAACGTCCTTAGTTCCCGTACGAAGAACTAAAACCGCGCAGATCGGCCGCACCGGTCCAAAACTCCCGCGCTTCTGCCAGCGATCTCCTGATATCCTCTGCCTCTGGGCAGCCAAGCGACATTATTAGGGTGACGCGTATCACCTCCTTCCCTGCAGAGGCGGGGCGCCATGCAAAGTACTTGCTGCTCAAGACCAGAGGTAGCAAGGCACTGTCCAAGCACGAGCTACTGGCTTTCTGAAAGTATTTTAGCCAGCGTCCAAACCCATAGCAATTGACGACATGCGCGTGCCATACCTTACCAATCAGTTTGCTACTTGTTAATTGGTAAGCTAAGCTTCATCACGCACATACACTATATACTTTGCTTCTTTGCAGACAGGTCGTCGTCAGTCAACCTTCCGCCGTACCCGCAGATATGCGTTCCTTTTGCTCTTGGGCCACCCAGCCTCCTTGCCTGATTCGTTACTTACGACTGGACGATAGGACCTCTGCTCATCAGAGCTCTTTCGTTAGACTATATGTCCTTTCGTAGCCTTGTTTACGTAGTTCGTATTAGGCGACTCTATCCGCCCGCCGTCACCAGGTCAGTCTATATCGCCACTGCTACATCGGTGGCTACTTCTACTCGCTTTGGCTGGGCGGCATTCTCCCCTCAAACACCTAAGAATGTGTCAGCTGCTTCCTGCTACTTCACTACCGATCCACTTGCCTTTTGTAAAATCCTGCAAAAGTGAGACCTCTTCGACCTATATAATGTACTCCTCGCAGCGCGGTTTTTATTATTTAAACATATAAAAACATGTTTACACATGCACGCGCATGCACACACATACAGAGATACAACACACAGAGTCTTTGTTGTGAATGGTGGAGGGTGACTGCATTTGTTAAGCACAATTGCAACTCGCTGACTTTGAGTGATGCTACGAGCAGCGGACGTCCGAACAGATCACAGGCAGGCAAGCAGGCAGGCAGGTAGTAACGCTGTCCACATAAACCAAACACTGAACATATGTGCCGCCGCCAGGGCCCCTTTGAGGTGTACCTTGGAAAGGAGCCCTCAGACCACGGCTCTCGGACCACGGCTCTCGGGCAGCAGCGGATAGGCAACAAGAAACACATCCCTGCCCGCCCAGTGCCACTTTTCAGGGGACACACCCCCAGTCCGGCGCACAAGAGTTGGTGGGCCCGGGATAAAGATCATCACACAGAGAGGGGTCAGTCAACCAGGGGCATCCGTAATAGCCGGCCATCATCAAAGCCGCCACCTTTGGGGCGACTTAAACAGCGCTCAACGGCTTGGACACGGAGGGCTCACGAGCTGCCATGAGCCAGCCAGCAGCGCCCTGATTGATATTAGCTTGCGAAGGGGCCGCAGTCCCGCGGATGGTATGATTTCCCAGTAGCACTTTGTTGGGCTGCTGCTGTCTTCCAAAAGATTTCCGGTCATGTTGTTCGTCACATGATCTGAGGAGCAGAAATAGAGAATAACTGGAGAATTGTGCCTTCTTTAGCTCGGTGCGGTGCGGCGCGGTGGTGGTTCCCGATACGGCCCGATCTTGTCCGCCTCCTCACGCAACTTCGTTCGCTCGCTGGCCCTTCCCTTTCTTTTGGTTGTGCAACATAAAAACATCACTTATATTTGAGATCTTCTTGGTTACTGTCCAGCAAACCCAGATACAGTCTCAGATGTCCCACGCTGCCACAGAGCCGCATCGTACATGTCCCGTACTTTGGTTCGTGACCCATTTGGTTCGGGGAGAAGCCAGATCGATCTAAGTAATGATTAAACGGGATATAAGTTTTCTTGTACTATGCTGTTAATTTCAGTCTAGTTCTGAAACCTGGGGCCTCTCGTTTCCCTCTTTCATGTATGTGACACTAGGTAGTGTAACATGATTACGGTTCCTTTCGTTCCCTTCGTTCGCCCCTCTGCTGTCTCTTTCCTTTTGCATACCTTTCTTTGGGTAAAAGATTTCCATAAAACAGCGATAAGTCTAAGGAGGTGGCTGGGAAGCAGGAAGTACGAGGAATTGGGGACTTGGCCCGCACCTTTGGGGCTATCCCCAAACCGCTTAGGGACTTCCTTCCTTCCTTTCTTCCTCCTAGTAATGACTTAGAGATATTGCGTATCGCCAGCATCTATTCTTGAATATTGGCAAAGAGCAGCTGACAGCACAGATCTAGGGGGATTATTATCCGGGTACGGATGTATCCGTATACGGAGGTGCCCGTGTACGGAAGTGCAGGCGAGTAGTTGCTATTTGTTAGTTGACAGTGTGATACAGCGGCGACGAGTGGTGCTACCATACTGACGGTGACAAACGCACGGAAGCCAGGTGTCCGATAAATACGTGGGATCTAGGAATGACTCTTAACGTCATGGAAATATTTTTTTTCGCGTGTGGAATTTCTTTATTGTATAGCCGCGATCGATAAAGGTTGGCAAAGGTAGGATGGTGCAGTGGGGCGGAACAGTGCGGCAGGCAGCAGCACACGGCGACGTGCGATGCGCCTCTGCGCTCGATACATATTTACACAGATGCCGGTGTCGTCGGGGTGGAAAAAATGGAGCATGACTTAGGTTTGTTACCTGGACGGAAGGCGGCGCATAGCTGTGCGTTACGCGACTCAGCGGGGACTCAGCGCCTTTTACCTTGGCATAAAAGCCGGCCACGTGCACCGGCAGAAGTGAGGAGCACATTATATAGCTGGAAAATGAGGCTGGAATATCAATAGCTGGAGTTAACCTTGGTGGCTTTGTCATTGCCGCTTGCTCCGCTGCGTGGAAGCCCCCCTCCGGCTGTACGACTGTGTGCGCCGGAACCGCGCCACCCGAGCAGTCTTCAAAACGCAAACTAAACAGCAGATCAGTTAACGCAAAGTTGTTTTGAACTATTTTGATCTTGTATTTACAGCCCGAAGAGCTTTATACACGACAACGGCACCTTTGCGGAAGCTCGGCCATATGAACTGACTCAGACTCCAAATATGGAAGGACCATTAGTCCTTTCCATGCAAACTTATTCATTGCGACACTGGGTTTAAAGTGTGTTAAAAAATAATTAGCAAGGGCTTGAATTAGTAGTTGCTTTACTGGACAGAGCATGATTTGGGTCAAGAATAGCTGGAAGCTCACTTTGCTAGATGTGAAATCTTCTGACATCTAAATTACCTTATTGACCTCTTGCAAAGTCATGGATTAGTAGTACACTGCTGCAACTTTGGCGGACGGCTAGATGCATAACCTGCCGTACCGTCCCTGCATCTCATAAATACAGCGCGCTGTTTCTGAGTCGCTTTACAAATTTAGACATAAGATCATATATTTATTCTCCTTGCCTAGCTCCAGTTCTCAGAAAGCACTCTGCCCCCAGCAGTACGGAAGGCGGGGTTTCTTTCCCCGCTCTTAGCGCCCTCCGAGTTTCGTTAGGCGACATGGATATGGGCCTGGCTCACAGAGTTATGTTTCCTTTGTAATCACTGTTGCGCTTACTAGAAAATTAATATCCTTTTGGCAACTTGCGCGATACTCACCTTTTCGCGCGCGCCAGGGCCCCAACCCGAAAATGGAGGGCCAGACCTACCCTGCCGAGCTTTCCAAAGGTCTTATGGATTCCGACCCAACACTACCCGCGCCCATGGAAACGCAGCCTCAATTTTCAGCTGAAGCCAACCAGCAAGGCTGTGCTTCACCAAACTGCTCTGCCGGCTGCTGCGTAGTTTTAGCATCTGGGGGTACACAAGGCGGACTGATGCCTGACTGCGCCTGCGCCCGCGGAAACCGCTTCCGAGGTTGTAAGCGTCGCATCTGGCGCTCGAGTGAGCTTTCGACGCTCGTCCTCCTGCACTCCGCCTTGGGGAACAAATGGTGCGCAGGATGGTGTTAAGCTTGTATGCGCTGAGTAAAATAGGCCCGAATCAAAGCGCGCGCATTTTCCTGCCGTGGTGAGCAGCTGCTCCTTTCCGCTTCGTCATGCCTGCCTTTTTTATGTCGCCCGCCGGGAGCTGCAGGGCTCTGCTCTTCACACCGTTCTGCGATGCTGTCAAACCCACATCTTCTTTAGCTAGCTCTATCCATAAAACTTTTGGGCTACTTTACTTGATTGTCCTTTTGAGCCTGCCACAATTTCGCATAATTTGAACGCTCTGGCAACGCATCCCCAAACTCCTCAGGAGCGCGATCGCAAAATATCTCCATGGTCGAAGTGACAATGATTGCAAGGTGCGTACTTTTACGAGCACCTGCCGCGCCGCCACCGCACCGATCGTCTAGCCGTAGGCGGCAGGACAGCGACTAACAAACCACAACGTGACCATTAGTACCGTTATATCATATTACCAAGACTACCGGTCGCATCCTTCCGCCGGCTTTTGCACTTGCATTATGTCGTTGCCCACCATGCCTTTCCCCCTTATCTCTGTTCCAAGCTGACTCCTCCTCCTCCTCCTCCTCCTCCTCCTGATCATCATCATCATCATCATCATCATCATCATCATCTCATTCCCCCTCCCCCATGTTCCTAATTTAGCCCGCCATCACCACCGCGCCTTGCTCGGTCCACCAAGCGATCCCTCCCTCCCGGTTTCCTGAATCCTCCGCAGAACATCTTCTACTCGGCCCTGCGCTCCAAGACCTCTCAAACCAACCGCCTCCTACGCACCTACGCCCAAGCCGTAGGGCCTAATTGCGACGACCCCCTCGCGCGCCAGAACGCCTACAAGACCGCCAAGGCGCAGGTCGCCGCCCGTAACGCTTCCCTCATAAGTCGGGCCGCTGCGCTAGCCCCGCGCAATCGCCAAAACTCACGCGGTGAGACAACCGGAGATTGGATTGGAAGGAGGGAGGGGGGGAGGGAAGCGCGGACTGGGGGAGTGAAGGGCGGGGGAGAGGTGGTTGGGGGAGCCACGCGGGGTGGCGGGGGGCCTGTACGGGAGGACGTGGGGACGGACAGGAGGGTGCCAAGTGAAGGACAGACGTGGGGGGAACCAGAGATCAAGACAGCGAGGTTGCTGCGCAAGAGCAATGAGTGGCAGGTAGGAGATATGTCGGGCGTATGCTCGGAAAGTTGCGTGCGTGTTGGTGGAAGAGAGGTGGGGAAGAGGGGAGGGAAGGGGGACCGCGATGAAGGCGGAGGAGGGGGTGTCGCTAAGAGCAAACAGGTGAGGATTCCCAGGTCGGCTGGCGAGAGTCGCACAGGCGATGGTGGGTTGGCGTCGTGAATTGCTGTGTGTAGGCGGCTTGTTGCGTAGCATGCTGACTTTCGGCGCGCTTATTGCTCGTTGTCGATAATATAGCAGGCGTTGTTGCCCTATTAGAAGATCTTGTTGAAATTGGATTTATTTGTATGACGGATAATTCTCGTTTGTTTTTTCCCCTTGTTCCCCCTTGGCTTGGCCTGCTTATTCTTCGGCTTTATGCTTTAATGCGCGTCTGCCTTCCCCTAACTTGCTTAATTTTGTATTAATCAGTCATTTCGCTGAATTTCCACTTGCGGAACTGAGTTTGATGTAACGCACAGTGATGCTAATGCTCTCATCGAGTCGCGCTGCTTTGGAAGCGCAGAATCTTCGTACAGCACACGTAACCGCCCGCCAATCTTATCCAAATAGACTGCTACGCACATTAACAAATTCATTTTAATGTGCTATTAATATTATCGTTTAACCCGGCAGGCCATACAGTAATTTTATATAGTTTGCATGTAACCTATGGTTGTGTCGTCCGTACCCTTACGCAGCCCACGCCTTCCTCTTCCTCCCTCTCTTTGCATCATCCTCTTCCCTTTCCTCCTCTCGTTCCCACACTACCCCCACGCCGTCCCCTCCTGGGATCCATCCTCTCTTCGCATGATTAGAACGTACACTGCGTGGCACAATGCATGCCGCTCGCCAGATTGGCTTTTGGGTTTTAGGATTTTAGGGTTATCTGCCCCATTTGTGCCCTTCGTCCTCCCTTCGTTGTGCCTTGTTATATGAATGAGCCTTTTCCCCTCAACCCTCAAACGCTAAATCCCTTTTGCCAACTCCATAGGTGGCTCGGCAAGCGATGACGATTCCGACATTCCAGCGGATGCGGCGGCGGCGGCAGCACAAGCCGCTGCGGGTCTACCACAGGCTGACGCTGCCGCCGCTGCGGCGGCGGCGGCTGTAGCCGGCGCGGACGGCGGCGAGGCTCCTGAAGACATAGACCCTATGGACGCCGGCGCCTACGTCAGCGCGCTGCAGCTCCAGCAAGCCACCGCCGCAGCGGCAGCCGCCGCTGCTGCCGGTAGCAGCGGCAGCGGAGGGCCTCAAGATCCCAGCCCAAGCAGCAACAGCAACCGGGCCCTCATCCGCCGGCTTTCAGCACAGTCCGGCAATCGTGACTCATCGATGTACGGCAGCGGAAGCGGAGGAGGTGGTGGCGGCGGCGGCGGCGGCGGCTCGCCCTCGATTGCACCAACGTTTTCACAAGGGACGGCTGCAGCCGCCGCTGCCACCGCCGCCGCTGGTGCACCGCTGGCGCGCACGAAATCGCAGTCATTCCGAGACGGGGCTTCTGAGGGGCATCCGGCGGGCTCAGGCCGCCAGCACCAGCACCAGCACCAGCAGCCGTCGCAGCCCCAACATTTGCATCAGTTGGTATTGCCCGCATGGGCAGCGTCAGGCCGCGCATTACTGCCGCCAGCTGCGGGTCACCCGTTACGGCAGGTACGACCACGACTGATGCCTTTTGGCCCCCACCCTTCGCCGCTCTCAGTGGGAATGGCCGCGACGTCGCACGACAGCCTACAGCTGGCGTCGCCGTCGGCGGCAGTGCAGAACGGCGGCGGCGCCGCCGCTGACGGCGTGCTGGCGGAGAATTACGGCGCCTCTGCATCGTCAACCGAATCGCTCCAAGACGCAACGCCGCCGCCTGCGCCGCCGCCACTGCGTCGTGGCAGCAGCGGCAGCGCCGGCATTGCCGCCGCCGCCGCGGCCGCCACCGGCACCGGGCGCAAAGACAGGGCGGCCCGGGGTCGCGGCGACGCTAGCAGTGGTATTGGCAGCAGTAACAGCAGCTTTGGAATCACGGTGAAGATCGAGAGAAGCGCCACTGCACCCGCGGGACCAGCGGCGGGGACCGGGAGCCCGAACGACCAGACGGCGGCAATGGCGGCGGCGCTGCACTCTTCGGCGACTGCGGCAATCGCCGCTCAGGGCCAAGTTCAGCACCAGCCGTGCGCCATTCGCTCCTTCGTGGTTCTGGACGATCGGGGCGGACTTAACGGTGGCGGTTTCACGCCTGGCAACACCTGCAGTACACCGGGTGTGTACGGGAGTGGGGTGCAAGGAGGCGGGGTGTATGGATTGTATGGGGCGGGGTTCAGGGAAGGAGGGCCCCCCATTCCGTGTGTGTGTACTCCTCAGGTCGTGCGAGACGCGTCGTCCAAGGACTGGTAGCACACACATCCATCCGTCAAAAGGAGGACGAGTCACAACATTTCCGTCGTCCCCCAAACCTCCAAATGACGTACTGACGGCCGGCTGAGTCTCCCCTCCCTTTCTCTCGGCCTCCATGGCGCCTCTGCCGCATTTATGGTCCACACACACATATATATATACACACACATATATACACACACACATCTACAAGCTCGGTCAGGGCCACTACCCTACCGCCACCGCCACCACCACCACCACCAACAACAACAACAACAACGACGACGACGACCCGCAGGCCCCTATCCGCAAGACTTGGCCATGCTTCAGCTGGCTCACGCCTCCGCTGCCTCGAACACTACAGACGGTGGACCGACCTCCCCCGACCTCCCGCCTACGACGTACTATCACCCGCAACCGCATCCCGCGTACCACGCCTTAGCGCTGTCCCAAGGACTTTGTACGACACCCGGCGCCGCCGCCGCCGGCACTGTCCTGCAACAGCCCACAGCAGGTACGCCGCCGCCCGTGGCGCGCATTTCCATCGCCGCCGCCGGCGCACCTGGCATGCTTTTCTCCGGCCTCCCCACCAGTACATGCGAAGAGCTCATGTCGTGTGGTAGTGTAGGGCCCATGGGGGCCCCCCTGGCGGTGCCGGCGGTGGCGGCAAGCGTGCCACGCTGGGCATCGCCGCCGCTGCCTGCGGCCGATCCTTCCGGCCCCTGCAAGTACGACATGACGCCGCAGCCGGTCATGGGCAGCTCCGGTGTGTTGCTGTACCCTAGCGGAGGCGGGTGGGAGTTGAGTGCCTTGGAGCTCATGGCGGGTAGCGGCGGCGGCGCTGGTGGCGGCGGCGCTGGTGGCGGTGACGGGGGCGCTGCCGCCGCTGCCGGCGGCCCTTTCGCTGTGTTACCGTCGCCCCCGGTGCTGTTACAGCAGCAGCACCACCAATACCACCTGGGCCTGCAATTGCAAGCACAGTTGCAAGCACAACAGCAGCAGCTGCAGGAGCAGCAACTGCAGCTACAGGCGCAGTTAGCGCAGCTCCATGCGCTGCAACGGATCTCGCACTTGCATCAGGGATCTGAACAGCTTAACTCGCAATCCCAAGGCCAAGGATCACCGGCCTGGATGGCCAGCTGCGATACCCCAACGCCGCAGTCACTGCAACAGCAACAGCAGCAGCCGGCGGGTGCGGCGGCGGCGCCGCCATCCTCCTCCTCAGCCACAGCCACGGCCCCACCGGGCCTACGGCTGGGGCCGGACATGACCATGCAGTCGCCTCCCCCCGGCCGTATCGTGCCTGAGACGCCGCTACAGCCGCCGCCACAGGCTGCTGACTCCGATCTGACGGACATGTGGCTCAGCTGCATGCTGGAGTGATGGCGTGATGCATCTCCATTGACAGGGATAGCAGCGAGAGCGGAGTAGCCGGCATGACGACTGGCTGGTAACTGGCTGGTGGCTGACACTCCCCTCCTGGCTTGATGGCCAGTCGCGGGCGGGCAGGCGACTGGGTGCTGTGGACTCATGTTCGGGAGGCAACCTTAGCGTGGGTGGGGAGCTGCGGCTTTGGTGGCTAATGGCTGGCCCCGGCTGCTAGCGGCTGGTGGTGCGGGAGCCGTACAGTGAGTACGATAGAGTGACTGTAAGAAGATTGAACCGCAGCAGGAGAGCACACCGGCAGATCTTATGGCTAAGTCATGGATAGGCTGTAGCGGCTAAGGATTGCCGCTGCCTATACTGTTATTATACGATGTCAGAAGAAGCGGTAGCGCGGCGAGGGGCAGCAACGGTTTTACGGTTTCTACGGTTACAGCACTCGTCACCGAGAGCCGGTTGGTTTCAGAGCTGGCACATGGACTTTCTTAGGGTTTCGCGTCCTGCTTTTGAAAACCATCCTTTATCTTGTAGAACATTTGGTTTTGGGTTAGGTGCATGAGGTATTTATGTAGGCATGTATGTATGCAGGCTGGCTCAATAGAAACGCATCGCAGGTTGGAATGGGGGACACTGGGACATGGGACATGAGGCGGGGTGGGTAGTGAAAAAACACACAGCATAGCATACAGGCCTACATGCATGCGAGCCAGCCCGTTGGCGCACAGTTGCTTCGCTTCGTTTGCTTTGCTTTGCTTGTTGCCTTTTCAGAATATTCTTGCCGTCGGGAGGCTTCAGCGCTTTACTTTGTGCACGTATGTTCTGTTCCATTACCACCGGGAATTAGGCACTAGACCTGTCCATCCAGACCGCTGTCCGATTAGGCGCCAGTCAGCCAGCTGCGGCTTCCAATTGCGGTCCATCAGAACAGACAGAAAGCTTTTTAGTCCGACAAAATCCGGCAGATCATTAGCATCCGTGCAGCTGCTAGCCGAGTTGTTTGTCGTCGCGATCTGCTGTTGTTGGCCAGCTAGCCGAGTTGTTATATGTCGTTGACAGTGAGGAGGTGTCGTTGGCAGTTAGCAGCACGAAACCGTTGATGAAACGGATTAATAGCTCGCGCGTTCGATAAACTTATGCTAGGATGCATGTCGTGCTAAGTGCATATTGGTGAACGATAACGGCACGGACGAACAGGGTTAACGGAGCGCACATGTACTTAGCTCCTATTTGCGGGGAGGTAATCACGAGCTTGGCTTAGGAGACACATGGGGGCGGAAGGGTTTTTAGGAAGGCAAGGGGTTTTAGGGAACTAAAGGGAGAACACTCCCCCATTCCCATGTTGGATGGCTGGATGGCTTGATGAGGGCTCAGATCACGGGAGGTCAACCTTCGACCATCAGTAGTTGGCGGATATAAAGTAGAACCAAACCATAAAGCTTAAAGTTTTATCATAAAGTTGTGCGCCATGTATAGCCACGCCGCAAGTTAGCTGTTTTCTTTTGTGGCGGTGAAGATGAAGGCGACGCGGATGGATGGTGGTGTTGGTGTGCGGTTGTGAGGCAGCAAATGAAAGCGCGAATGGGGGTGCGACAGGCAGGCAGGAAGCTTAGATAGTTCTAATGTCGATTTGCGGGATTCCTAGGGGCGTTTCTCTGCGCTCGTACGTTATTAGCAGGGCGCATTGCCTACGGAGGTACTTGGGTGTGTGTGTGTGTGTCTCTATGTGTGTGTGTCTGTCTGTGTGTCTGTGCGCGTTCACGCTTTGGGGGCTCCCCGGGGTGATGCGGGAGATGTGGACGTGACCTGATATCGGCCGCGTCGTGTCGGCTGCTGCGATCCTCCTCAACCCCTGGAGGGTCACAGAGGGAACAGAGCTGGCGGTGTTAGGAGATGCTGGGGCCCTCTTGGGATGCATATCCTAACGGCATATGTTTTCTTAAGATGCACCGATTAGACGCCAACTTAAATTACCTATGTGCAGCTGCCAGCCGAGTTGATAGTTCTCGTAAAACTTAGGTCTCGAAACCTGTGCAGGACACCGCCAGCCCAGGACATAGGGTTCCAGTATTTAGGGTTTTAGGGTTTTCACCGTTAATGGTGGGGTTTTGTAGCCCAGCTTGTCAGCACAACATGTCCTGCACGTGTTGTTGCTGCCAATGCTGGTTCGTTTCAGGCAGTAGGAGGCGGAGGAAGTAAAGGCGTTTTCTTCGCAATAAATCTTGTGAGGTAATCTTTCCTTAGAACGAGTTCCAGGATCCGTACAACGGCACGTACAGATGATGGGGGGGGCTCAGCACCTGTCACAGATTAGAGTGGATTGACTCGTAATTTTCCTTTCCTCAAGTACATGTCAGTATTTTAGAGACGTACCTTTCCCTGTAGGCGGACCTAGGGGCAGCGGTATGCCGCAAAACTAATGCAGACCGCAGCCCTGCCATCATTTGCAGCAGCAGGAAGTTGTAGAAGATGAGAAAGGGAGGCGGAGCCTATGTGAAATTGTAGTCGGTGGCGACACGCGTGTATGTATGTATGTATGTATGTATGTATGTATGTATGTATGTATGTATGTATGTATGTATGTATGTATGTATGTATGTATGTATGTATGTATGTATGTATGTATGTATGTATGTATGTATGTATGTATGTATGTATGTATGTATGTATGTATGTATGTATGTATGTATGTATGTCGATTGAGGCAGGCGGCACCGCGGAGAGGATTGCGTGGTTTCCCTTAAGCTAAACAAGGAAAGGGGATGTACGGTGATGTACGGCGATGTACGGTGATGTACGGCGATGTACGGTGATGTACGATGAGGGTTGTGGAATTGAGGCTTGTGGTGGATGATGCGGGGGATGAGGCACCGGCGGCAGGTTTTCTGAGCGTGGCCCCGGCCCGTGTGACGGTAGTGTTTGGGGAGATGGACGTCGTGGATGTGACCCATGGGGTCAAAGCTTGTGATGCTCCCAACATGTTTGCTTTGCTGTTTGAGGCTGTAGGAGCTGAGGCTTAGGGTTTATCGTGTTGCCGGATGAAACGTCGAAAGAGATGAAAGAACATATAAAAGGAGAGGGAAGACAGCAGGAGCCCCCTGACAGACATGGAAACGAAGCGTCCTGTCCAAAAGGGCTTTTGGGGGAGGGGGGGGGGGAGGTTGGAAGGTAGTTGGGATTTTAGCGAAAAGTAGGAAGGTAGAGGAGCTTTACGGCATGTGTGCGGTGTGAGGTGTGGCTGTGGGTAAGGTACTTGAGCGGTACTTGGTGGGAGATGGAAGGATATCTGGATGAAAGCAAACAAACCCAAGGATCATATGTTGTGCTGTTGTTGTTAGGAGGCATGAATGGGGGTTGGATGGCAACCTGTGCAGAGCAACCTAGGGCGGTGCGAGAGGCCAAACCGTTGCAGGTTTGGCCACCGGCATATGCACATCCCGGCTCCGGAGTCTGGACGGCTTTCCGTGGGACGCGGCGAGGGTCTCGTTTCAGGCCGCAACGTTCACCTGGTCTGTCGTGGGCTCTTGCAATTCTGATACAAGTTTCCTTTCGAAGGCATGGTGGCGATGGCGGTGGGGATTCATGGAGATGGAGAATGTGGAAGCTGTGTGTGTGTGTGTGGGGGGGTGTAAGGCTTGTGGTGTTCGAAATGTCCGACACAAGCTGCCGTGCATACTTACCCAGGCAGACCCTTCCCCCAGCCCGCCACATGTGCATCCCGCCAGTCCCAATCCGTCCCGGCGCCTGCGTAACAGACAATCCGGAGCGTCCCGGCCCCTGGCGTAACCACCTGTGCTTATTATCCTGCACACCGCCTGCGTTGTTCGTCTCCTCGAAAATGGGCTCCAAGTCAGAAGCTTACTGTGGCATGGCAGTGCATGGGCCGTGTACTGTCGGCGCCCGTTCGGCGGTCCAACTGTTGTCGGGGTCGTTTCGCGAAGCTACCTCCGAAAGTAACATTACGGTCGTGTTCTTGAATCTGATCGGCTTAAGGTGGAAGGAAGGCTTAGAGGGTGCTGCGCTTGCCCTTATACTTCTGCACGTGTGCTTGCGCTAGGATGTTTTAGAAGGAACATGGATTTGTTTTTCAATGGATAAATTAATAAGATCAGAGGACTTTTGGATACTTCTTCGAAACTAGATGACTCTTGCTATGGGGAAGAGAGAGAAAAAGAGAAAAAGCCTGCAGGGAGCCAGAGAAAGAGGCAGAGGGAAAGATAGATGGGCAGAGGGAGAGATAGATGAAGAGAAAGATCGTCGAGAAGCGCCCGCGGAGGTGGCTGGGTGTCGCTATTGCACCCACCATCCGCTGCCGCGATGTCCCTGCCGCTGCTGCCAAGAAGGAAGGAGGGAACGCAACCGCATTCACCCCACTGCCTTTAATAGGTGGATAGGTTGGTTGCTAGTTTCGTCGTCCGGCTGCGAGATGGTTGGGCGGTTGACAGCTGCCATATCGTTGTGTGTGTTACCGAGGGTCCAATTTCGCGCTGTCGCGCTGATCAATTGAATCTTTGCCAGATGCATGCGATCTTTCCTTGCATGCGATCTTTCCTTGGCGGATTGCGGCAGATTTGGCGGATTATGCCAAACAGGAAGCGTAAGGCTGCGGGTAATGTTGGCTCAGCGTAACGTGTACACGCCAGCGCGGGACAATGGAGTGCACGATGCACGTGTGCGTCTGTTCGTACAACATGCTGTCGTACATGGCGCGTGGGGATTCTTCTTCTATGCCATGCGTGGTCGTGTCAACGGGCGTAACGAGAGGTCGTACACTGAAAACTTTCGGACGCATTTTATGGCGTGCGTTGCGCGGTGTCACACGCAATATAAGAAGAAGAGCAAGTACACGGTGGTTGGGGGTCGTTGGGCCGTACAGCACACTCCCGCTCCCTCTTGGTCGCCTCTCGGCGCCCGCGCCGGTCGGGTTTTGTATTTGCGCTCGTTTCTGTTGGACCTCGCGTTTTTCAGTTTTTGTGTGGATTTTTTGCTATTATCATTAACATCAAAAAACACAAACTCCTTAGGCTGGAGTCGAGGGAAGGAAGGCCGAGAGGGACTGCTCTTCGCGGCTGCTCTTCGCGGCTTTTCCACGGCGTATCTGTGACTGCCTGGTTATCGGGTCGTCCGTGGCTCTTGTCATGGCTCTGATGGTCGCTGGTGTTGGCATGTGGCAAGAGTGTCCATCTCGCCAGCCGAGCCGGGGGGTTGGGGGGTGCTCGTGCACGTGTCATGTTATTGTCATGTGGATGCGTCGCGGTGTGGATGCATTGAGCAGGGCACATCTCTGCTGGGAGCGGGGGCAGGCAGGTGAGCCTTTGGCGGCGGCGGCATCTGGGTTGTGCCGGGGGGGTCGTGACAACAGAGAGCAGACTCTCTTTCCTATCTGCTGCCCGGCTGCCTTCGCCACCACTCCGTGTGTCCATAGGTGTCTGTTTTTTGAGAGTATGAAAAGCAATTTACCTCTCGCTGACGCATCCAGCGGGCAGAAGTATTCGTAGAGTTAGCAGTGGCTTTAGGAAGCTGTCCACGAAGAAACGCTAAGACATGGGCCCGGCCCGCTCGCCCGCCCGTAAAAGTATTTCAGCCCGTTAGGGGTCAATTATGTATTTTCGCATGCACGTGCAAGTGCCTGCATGTAGGTGCACATGTGTCTTGATAGAACAGGAAACACTGTTTTTCTTTTGTTTTGTTGTTTGTGTTTATTAAGGTGATATGTTAATGTTGCACGCACACATGTATGGATGATATTTGTGAATGTGTACGGATGAATGTATGTATGTGTGTATGTGTAAGTGTATGTATGTATGTGCGTACGATGGCGTAGTAAAGTGCTGTTGAGGAAGGCCCTTGTAACACACCTATGCCCCAAGCTGAGATGTCGGTTGTGTCGCCGGATGTGGATAGCGATAGCACCAACCTGAACCCGTACGGCCTGGTCGGTTGGTCGGTCGGTTGAAGCAGTACGGCGTAAGGGGGCAAGCCGCGGCATGGCCCCCTCTCTCCCTTCTCTTCCCATACCCTTGCCCGATGCCGCAATGAAACTCTCAATCACCAGCGAACACCAGCCCTGAGATTGATTGACACCGGTGCACCATTCTTTATGGCTGTGTAAGAGCACATGCGGAAGGGTTTGATTTTGTGCGGCTGTTTGTCTGGCTGTGTGTATGGCTGCGTGTAAGAAGGATATACTGAAGCACAGTTTGCGTATACTTGGGGGTTGTGTAAGCTGCGAATGAGAATGTTGCCGAGACGCCGAATAACCTGCGGGGTGTGCTGCGGGGTACGAGGGGCGAAAGGGGGGAAGAGATACAGTTTCTCGCAAGGGGGATTGGGGCAGCCTCTGCTGGGAGCTAAGAGCTAAGCTGAGCAACTAGCCCGGGAGGCAAGATTATTTTGGCGTCGGGCTCCTGTCGCATCCAGACCTCTCCCCTTGCCCGACTTCGCACAACCGGCGACTTCTAAGATACGTACAGCACTAATTCGCATGTGTTGCGAGTGATAGCTGGTCCCGTGGAGCGGATTCCTGGCTGGCGTGCGAAAGCCGCTGTCAGCTCTGTGAGGTATGTATCTTGCTTTGGGGTTGAATCCCAAGAAAGAAGATCGAAAAGAAGAGAGAGATTCTGGAACTGCTTGGTAATTGGTTCACCTATAGAGCACACCAGCCTGTCGAGTGCGACTTTGGCGGGCGAGCCGCATTCACAGCAGGCGGCTGGGGGACTCCACAGTCGTCTACATCGTAATTATCCAGCTGATGTAAAAGTGTAATTGGCTTTTTGGCAAATAAAAAATACCTTTTCGGCGCCTTTTGGCGTGTTCGGTTGCACTGTCAGACACAGTAATCGTGCCGCAATCCATGTGACTTCTAAGTCGAACTGTTCCGGCCAGGCATATGTGTTGTGATTGTTTAGCCTTTTGTCTTTTGCTTGTAGAACACGAGAAAAGTGCTTGTGATGGATGAAGGACTGCAACTTTTATGTCGACAATCATGGATGGCGGCGACATAACAAAAGCGAGGGGTCAAGAATAAGCGAAATTGTGGTATAATCAATAGATGCAGAATAGAAGGGGTTTACAGGCCCTGTCCGCCGCAACCCGTCAGAGCTATCGCCCGAACTACGAATTAAAAAACATACCCTCCAACGAGCTACATACTAAAGCAAGTTCCATAGCTTACAGTTTAGTGAACTTTCAAATGCCAGCCGGATGACTCCGATGATGAGTCGGTCAGCTGGATGCAGCTAACAACTTCGTGAGCTTTACTTGACGCTCCAACAATGTCTCCATCATTGATCAACTACAGCTCCATCTACAGGTACAATGAAACAATATTGGCGTTAGAGCAATGGCAAAAAGCAAAACTGCCTCTGCTGCCCCAGCAGTCGCAGCTTCGGATGAACCAGAGCACAGCTGTGTCGGGCACCGCACGACGCGATAAGAGGAGTAAATCGAGGGAACAACGGGATGAAAACGGAGGAAGACAAAAGGCCAGGGGGACAAGGCCGCCCTACCATCAGGCCGCCCTACCCATACACAGCAACTTACGGGCCCCCCTCCCTCCCATTCCCCCCCCCTCACCCACACACCGCCGCGGAACACAAGGCCGCGGAACCCGGGGCATGGGGCTCATGATGTCGCCTCCAAGTCCACCAGGACTCGCCCCCTCAGCTGCGACTCTTAACATCTGGGAATAAGGCAGTGCACACTAGCAACACGAATATATACAGCCCTGTACCTGCCGATGCCAACTGCAGCCTAAACGAAAATGGCACACATACAAGCACACACACACACACACACACACACACCAGCAGCACACAACGGCGAGAAGCCGTCCGAACTGGGTCTGACACGAGACGCGGGGCCCCGAGAGTCCCTCAGGGGGAGTCCCTGAGAGACACATAAGAACACACAAGAACACACACAAACGCGTCCCAGTCAGCAAATGCGCGAGGCGGCGGACCCAGCCCACCTGCATGGGGGCTCCCCACTCCCCCCAGTCCCCAGCCCTTTCACGTCCGGGCTCATTGTAGCCCTACCTTGCACCCACCATCATCATATCACAGGTACGGCCTCCACCCCAGATACATGCGACCAAGCACGTTGGTGTCCGTGGCCAGGTCTACGAGGCAGCGCGCAAGAGCTACCGGCGGGAGAGGCCCCGAGTGCTGCAGGGGGTTATGGCCGGAGGTAGAAACGCGAGAGGGGGAAGAGGAGAAGGGGAGGGGAAATTGCGGAGATGAGGAAGGCACCCAGCACTGAGGTATAGCCAACTCGCCAAGATTGGGTCGCATCACTACCACTCAATGAATCAGTCAGTCAGTCTGTCTGTCTGTCTGTCAGTCATGGCAAGTCCAAATCCCCCACATGCACACACGCGCGCGTACCTGAAGCAGCTCTGGTCTTGCTCGGAAGGCGGTTGGCCCACCACCACTACTGCCGCCACTGCCGCCGCTGGCGCCCTGCACTATGTCGCACAGCGCCTGGAAGTACGGGGCGGCTCCGTGGCGCCCCCGCAGGTCCTCCACCAAGATGAGCGACGGGTGGCGGCGGGCCAATTTCTGGAGGGCCGTTTCCACCTGGTGGCGGTGTAGGTCCAAGGTTGGGAGGGACCGGGAGAGGTGGGACCGGGTAGCAATAGCAGCAGTAACAGCAATAGCAGCAGCAGCAGTAGCAGCAGCAGCAGCAGCAGCAGCAGCAACAGCATTAGGAGTAGCAACAGCAGTAGCGGCAACAGGGCCCCCAATGGTTCAAATTTGTAGCGACCCCAGGGGCCGGGGGTGGAAGGCAGACGGGGAGGAGGGAACTGCCACAGCTGACGAAATGGGACTTTCATGTGCTTGTTACACGACTTGGTAAGATACATTTGCGACCTCCTGCAGCACCCTGGGGAGGAAAAGGAGAAAGGATGACCACAATGAACTGCTGAGGGGGCTGAGGGGGGAACAGGGCCTGTCAGGGCCTGTCCCACCTCACCCCACCGCTCCACAGCGACAGCATCCCGTACACCGCAAAGGACCCACCACAAAGAGGGAGGTGCTCCGGGGGCGGGGGCGGACAGCGGGGGTTAGTTTGAGGCATCCAGCAAGGTTGGAAACCGGAAACAGCTACTCGCGGTCGTTTGCGGGATCACCGGGTTCACGCACTCTAGGGCAGGAAAACGATAAAGGAATCAACAGTCATGCGGGAAATGAAGATTGGCAACCGGTTGTGTTGCTCAGGCTTTGATGCGGTGTAAGTGTTGGTCATCGGTCAGCTGGCTTTGCTCGGCTTAGGTCAAACTTCTATTGAGTTTTGGTTTCATTGCCGGTTACCAAAAAAAACGAAACCCATTTTGCGTGTGGCGAATCTATGGATTGGCAGCGGCATGTAATGGTCTGTGACGGAAATCAACATGCCTTGAAATCGTGCCCGGAAGCCATTCTTTGAAAAATTTGTCGCCGGCTTCGTGATGGCCTTTACGTAATCCATGCCTGGTATCAAGCTTTACTGGCTCCCTTCACAATCGTTGATTGTGACTAATGCTTGCTGTGCGTTGTGACTTTGGAGGTTTACAAACGACGCGGCTCGGCCAGCAGTCTGGACAATGGACAGTTTTGTTCTTCAAACTGGAAACACTGCGCTTCCGCGCACAGCGACGCACGTGCAGGAAGACAAACGTAAAGTGTACATCACAGTAATTATAATTGGCGAGAAAAGGACGGTTCCGGTTTTCGTCGCTCTCAGACACGTTCAAGGCCTAGTAGATGAAACGGCGAAAAGCCAACCGCAGTTGCAACGCCCGCCTATGTGTCTGTCTGCAAGCAACCTACCTTGCACGGGAGCGCACAGGTTCGCCAGCTGCCCTCCTGCTCGCTCATTTCCATCTGTCCGTTCCTTCCTTCCTTCCATCCTTCCTCGCCTTACTTTATTCCTTGTCTCCTTGATGTAGGGTGGGAGTTTGATGCTTCCTCGTGCTTCCTCATACTTGCAAACCCGCGTTTAGCACCCCCTGAAGCCCCCTTGAATTTCCAAGTACCGCGCAAACCCAAAGTTTTCGTCGTTTCGATATTGGTGGGGAAGTTATACTGTAGGAAACATAAAATCTTGTGTCAGAGATGCATAATCAGCTTCCGGATGGTTGAAGTGTGCTTCAGAGGAATTGGAGATGGAAAACACTCTTCTCAATAAGCAAGCAAACTTTCCAATTAAGTCAACAACAACTTTAATGTTGACTGGTCTGCCCTGTGAAAAGAATTACTATCTACTGTGAACTTCATAGTTCTCAATCAAGCAAACGAAATATTGGCCATAGCGTCGTTCCAATCTCTTATCGCCAGATCCCAAATTTCCCAGCATAAGCCAACTTCATGGGATACGTCACCTGACTATTTCTTTTTCAATCGTCAAGTAGCATGCATGTGCGCGCACACGGTCTCGCTCGCATCACCCACCCTATTGCGAGCCAGCCGCGCCGCCAGAACCCGACTGTCGTCCTCTTCCTCTCCGCCATCCTGAGAACCTCCTCCTCCAACTTCCCCCGCCCTTGATGTCCGCAGCATCATGGCTTCTTGCTGCCAGTCCGCCACCGGCTCCCGAAGAAACACCTGAGAGCCCGGCGGCATAACAAAGCATAGCACAGCATAGCACAGCACACAACACAGGGTAAGAACATACCTGTGCTTATACAATGTTTGATGGCCCAGCACCCCTACCTCCATCACCGCCGCCAGCAGCTGCCGGGCGGGTGGGGCGCTGAGAGCCGCTAGGGCCGCCGCCATCCCCGGCACCATCACCTCCTTGCCGCAATGGGGCTGTAGCGCTCCGAGCAGCTGCGGGGTCAGACGGAATGGGACCAGCTCGGGAATGGGGACGACCTGAAAGGCAGGGGGGACAAGGGGGTGGGGGGTGGGAGGAGAGTTGGGAGAAGGGAATTAAATGGTGCGAAGTCAAGAAGGGAAAACAACTACTGGAAGCACGTTCAAACTGATGCCCGAATCCAAAGCTGCCATAACACAGCTAAACGGCGTGAGGAGGGGCGGGGAGGGGAAAGACGAACCACGGGCGGGGAGGGGCGGGGAGGGGAAAGACGAACCACGGGCGGGGAGGGGCGGGAAGGGGAAAGACGAACCACGGGCGGGGAGGGGCGGGAAGGGCCCCATGTAAAGAGGTGGAGGAGGGCGGGAGCTGTATACCCCGAAGCTCGCTATCGCCTCCCTAGTAGCCCGAGCCTGCGAACCTCACCTAAACGGTTAACCCAACCACACCCCGACCAACACCCTGAACCATGTTTACCGTTTTCCTTGGCCCAGCCAGACTGGACTCAACCCAGATCCCAGCCCGGGGGTATCACGTGTGCTGTACGACCAGGTCCGTACAACAAACCCAATGAACTGGCAACGCGGCACGCACCCTCCACACTGCCCTCCCGCCGCCCTTCTCCCCACGGCTTCTCCCCCCACCCCATCTGTTCCATTGTTTTTTTTCGTTTTGGGCCTAATACCCTAGAATAATAAACTGGGTGTTTCTTGCGGTTACAATTCCATTTTGTATAGTCGCTGGGGGGGGCTGCGCCCGCCCCAGACCCCCCCTTGACCCCCCCCTCAAAGCTTGTACGGTGTGCTGTAAACAACACCTGACGTCTGGAAACAAACATGCCGTACCACCATCGTTCTGTGCACCTAACTGCATTTGCGCCAGTGTCTCTGTGAGCAGTGTCTGCGGAGTTTCTGAGCCGTTTGCTTTGGTCAAGAATGAACGAATGCCCCGTTGACCTAAGTTGAATGCAACAGCGGGCCGTCTCATCGTGATATCATCAAATATTTTATATATAAATAGTGTATAAGCTCCAAATGTTCAGCTTTATATGTGCAGAAGGCATTTGGGGCGACTTATGGCCGAAGTAATGAACCAGTACGGCCAACTGACCAATTATTCCATTTCTTCCAGGCTCAGACCCCCATTTCTCACCATCATCATCATCATCATCATCATCCACTTCGGACAGGGCGCTTCCCCCGTATGCATACCTCAACACCAACATATCACACAAACATACAAACATTTACACACATACAGACACACACACTCGCACTCGCGCACCTGCGTAGCGGCTCCCAAGCTGTAGCCAAAGTCAATGTGCACCAGGCGGCCCGTCGCGGGCTGTAGCAGCAGGTTGGAGGTGTGGCGGTCGCCCACCCCCGCCAGGTAGCCGAACACGCTCCCGGCCACCAGCCCCGAAACCAGGGCCCCCCTCCGCGCCAAGAAGAGCTCGGGACTGTGGCCACTGACTCGCAGGAGGAAGGAGCGCAACAGACCCGCGGGTAGGCAACCAACTGCCTGTGGATGGTAGGCGGTGGGGGTGAAGGGGTGATGGAGGGGTGAAGGGGTGATGGAGGGGTGAAGGGGTGATGGAGGGGTGAAGGGGTGATGGAGGGGTGAAGGGGTGATGGAGGGGTGAAGGGGTGATGGAGGGGTGAAGGGGTGATGGAGGGGTGAAGGGGTGATGGAGGGGTGAAGGGGTGATGGAGGGGTGAAGGGGTGATGGCCGGGTGAAGGGGTGATGGAGGGGTGAAGGGGTGATGGAGGGGTGATGGGGTGATGGAGG